ACAAACATGAGTAAGAGTATCTTTCAACATCAGTAAAGCAAGACAATAACCCATGAATCCCTATCAAGTCAACAAGTACAATGACCAAGCAAAGTTTCATAACCTTACTCAATCAAGTAACCCAACAAGCATCATGACTAACATTCTACTTCACATATCATAACATTTAAGAGTACATAATATCATACTTTAACAATATAGACCATCACATATTCATAAGTGACACCAATCAACATATAGTATCAACAATGTACAAGTTCATAATATACATGTCATATAGAATTATAAGTATTTTCATATATAATAACATCCTCCTAAGACTCCCTTCAAGGCTAACTAGTGCAATGTTTAGGTAGAGTCCCATACCCCTACCTAGATTAAGCTAAACCCCTTAGTTCATCTTAGTTAGAGTTCAATATTTTAATTCATTTTACCTTTTTGGGAACTTCTTTCCCTAACCAACATAGACCACATAAGCTAATGTGGAATCCTGTGTCATGGAACCCTACAATGAAAGAAGGCAGACTACTTACCAAGGTAGTATCAAAACACGGACAAAGAAACTACGTGGATCCACTAGCTAGTATTCCTATGGGGGTAACATAGTTCAAGAACGAGGAGATATAATTGGGACTCTCTTTATGCTACATGCATTGTAGTCTACAATGTCAGGAGTACATTAGTGATCCTACCTTTCCTATGTGGGAAGGGACACTCCTCACTCTAGTTCACTGAGTGCTAAGCTAGAGTCCCTTTTTAAAATGTCTTTATGTCTTTATTAATCATCATAGGTTATTTTAGGTCATAGGGTCTAACCCTTGTATAACATCATCATCATCATAGCTCAATAATAATTGCATGAGAATTGTCCTTTCATTACAATTCATATAGGTGAAGTTAGCACATTAACATTCTCATACATGATAAGGCACATTGGTAAATCATTCACCATCCTTATAACATTTACTTCTTAAGCAACATCTCTCAAACAATAATAAGAAGTATCATTGGTCCTCATGGAAGAATCTTAGTTTTCCACTTGAAGAAAAGGGAATTAGAGTTAAACAATTGAGTGATGTGTTTAAGTTGTTTCAATACAAGCAATGATGCGTGTTTAGATCAAAGCAAACTTTCTGGGGCAATTTCTTAAAAGCTAAGTATTGCCAAAGATCTAGTCCTATTAACAAAAAGTGGAATACACAAGACTGTCAAACTTGGAGACATATGATGAGACACAAACATACCATCGAAACCTATATTCAATGGAAAATAATATATGTGACCTGCTCTTTTTGGTGGGATAACGGTTGGGAGTGCGACCTTTGGCACAATATACCAATGTAAGCAAAAGATTTAATAAAGAAACTATTGCAGACTTCATGGAGAATGGTCAATGGAACATGGAAAAAGTCATTCAGCAAGATCCTTCATCACATGTCCATACTATCTTAGCCACTGAAGTTCAGCTGCAGCAAGGAGTACCAGGTCATGACAATCTGGAACCTTAACACCAATGGGAAGTTCACTTGTTAATCGGCATGGAATGTTATCCGGTAGAAAAGATCCAAGACAAAGATTAATATTTGCACTTGGCATAAAAACATTACTTTTAATTGTGGAGAGAAATCAGAAGAACATTACCAACCAATGAAAATATTTGTAGATTTAGAGGTGAACCTTCAACATGCTACTGCTGCATTACGCCAAGAATGGACACTATCGATCATAATTTTAATTCTGGAACTTTTGCCAAGTATGTGTAGAGTTTTTTTTTTTGCAGATTCTTTGGGTATCCAAACATATCAATTACCACTAACTTACTTGCTTATTAGATGGTGGTCCATTTAATACAAAAATGAAGCTCACAAACTCATTTTGCAGTCCACACCTATCTTCATTTGTTGGAACTTGTGGAAAAATAGATGTGCTTAGAAATATAGAGGAAAACAGTCCAATATGGCTAGAGGTAAATTTATTGTCTTCAAAGACACTTTCAGACTCTTACACACTGTATTCCCATACATCCAATGTCATACAAGCTGGAAAAAATTAATCCCCATGATTGAGGGTTGTACACGTGATACAAAGGTTAACTTGGTAAGATAGATCAAACCTCAAAACCAATGGATTAAACTTAATGCATATGGTAGCACATTGACTAATACTGGAAAAATAGGGGTTGGTGGTATCCTCAGAAGTTCCAATAGTGAGATGATTATGGCATATTCAGTATCTCTTAGTGAGGGTACCAACAATCAAACTGAAGTTGAAGCTGCAATTTTTGGGCTGTCTTGGTGTGTTCAATTAAACCTCGAGTATGTCATCCTTGAAGTTGACTCACAACTGCTTATTGATTAGATGCAGGAGAAAATCTCACCTCCTTGGAACTTATTAAATCATATTAAAAAACTAAACAACATTATCAACCAAGTCGAGCATTTCATTTGCATTCACACACTTAGAGAGGGGAACTTTGTAGCTGAAGCATTTTCAAAGCATGGTCACAAGATCACCAATCCACATGCCTACTTCAACATCCAGGAACTTCCAAAAGATGCAGCAGAGCACTTCCATCTAGACAAAATTGAAATGGCAAGCTTCCGGAGAAGAAAAACCAATGCTAAGCTTGATAAGAAAATCATGGTAACTCTTTAAGGTCATTTTGCGCTCATGTTGATATTGAGGATAGTTTCTTCTAATGTGTTATGAAAAGTTAAGCTCTTATGTGTTGTGACTTGTGAATTGAGTTGCTATGTGTAATGTCATGTTTATGTGTTGGATGGAGTTGTGAAGTAACCCTATGACATGTGACTCATACTGATGATGTTATTCTTATTGTTGGTTGGGCTTCTAGTAATGAGTCTTGTCTTTCCCTTCAAAAAGATTTAGTGTCATTCGAGCACGAATGTTCCTAAGGGTGGATAATGTAACACTCCGGAAGTCCATGACATAGAATAGAATCACCTATTAAATAAATTCTAATATGGTGTTTTCGAAAAAATATTAATGTAATAAACTCAGTTAGAAAAGGTTACATCCAAAACGACAAAGAAAGATTGTGACATCTGAAAACCAGCTATATTGAAATAGTTGGCGTCCCTATGTTTGGTGAAGGTTTGAAAGTGTCATAAAAAGTCTAAAATTTATAAAAAGACTTCAAATAGGTAAATTATAGTAGAAAGGGTTCAAACGTCCAATAATGACTCCCCAAGGACCACCAGAAGGGTCCTTGAGGAGGACCCAAACATTGGCAAGCAAAGATGTTAATCCAGCCACGGGTCGCGCCATCAACATTGAGTGGGAAAATTTTTCCCTACGACACGGATTTCACAAAAAAGATGTCGAACTGCCCCGCAACACGCAACCACTTCCTAGATTCGTCCGCGTCATTTTAAGTCATTTTTACTTCACAAACAGATCCAATTAAGTGAGGGGTCTTTAGGTAATTTTTGTTACGAGTATATATTTGTTTTAGTTTAGTTTTACGTCATTTTAACTCACTCAAATTAAATCCCCAAATCAAAAATCCAAAAGCTCTCATCTCTCCCAAATTCTATCTCGATTCATCCTCCATTGAAGAACAAGAAAGCTTGAAGAAGAAGACCAATTTCTTAAGGATTTCACTCGAATTTAATGGATTAAAATCCATTAAGGTATAGTTTCTTCACTTTTGGGATTTCTTTCCCCAAGACGTCCTTTCATAGTTGACTTCTACAACACCCAATTCTTAAGGTTTTTCTCTACAAATGAGTTTTCTTCTGAACTTGAAATTGATGATTGATTATGGCAAACTGTGATTGCCTATAGCTAATTAACTATAGATTGTTGATTAATTGATGTTGACTAATGGTAATTTCGTTTTATTCAAGTCATTTCCTCAATTTCCCAAAATCTTAGATCTTGCTTATGAATTGATGGGAATTGATGAATGTGTTGATTGTTAGACTCGTTTTAACTATCCTAATTCATTTATGGAATGCCTAGGATCATGTATTGTTGGGATTGAATCTAATTCTTATAGAATTCATGATGAACCCTATTCCCCTAACCCTAGGTTATGAATTGATATTGATTTCGTCAGTGATGATGCAATTGACTTAGTTTTTATGTTAATTATAATTGTGTGATGTTAAGCTTATTGATGGGTGAATATGGTTGGTTGATGGTAAGACCACTAAAGAAGGCTTATGAAGGTTAATAGGTAAGACCCTGTGATCTTGAACTCTTACTTCATATGTGATGCCTTGAACTTGATGGTGATGGTTAATTTAAGTATTACATGTGACTAGATTACATGGGTGATGGAATGAAGAATGTGATTGAAATGTCTTGACTATATGAATTGTGAGATGATGTTTAACATATGATTATATAAGGTTGATGTTGAATCACTTATGTGTCTTACTATGACATGATGATAATGTGTTAATCTCACATATGAGGGTTGCTATGAAAGGACATTCTCATGCAATTCCTAAAGAGCTAAGTGATATGTTATACAAGGGGGTTAGTCTCCTATGACCTACATGAAGCTATGATTGATTAATAAAGGCTTAAAGACATTTCAAAAAGGTAGTCTAGCTTAAACTGAGTGAACTAGTAGTGAGGAGTGTCCCTTCCCAAGTAAGGAAGTTAGGTTCACTATTTTAGTCAAAGATAAAGATGACAATGACAATCGGATAAAGAGGGTCTCAAGCATGTCTCCGAGTTCTTGAACAATGTTGCCCTTATAGGAATACTACCTAGTGTGTCACCTCCGGGGAGAAACCATTTGACGTAACCGGCGTCATCATCCTCGAAGAGGACAAAGACTAGCCTTTTAGCATTCGTCATTATATTTCATAGATTAAAATATTCGGAAAATTAAAAATTTTCATCTACATCTACATCATGAGGTTTACATAGGCCTCTCGCTTACACATAATATATACATAACGAGTTTACTTAGACTACTCGCATAGGAATCTTCAGGATTCTACTTTTAAGTCACATATGCAATATTCAACATAAAGTCTAATAGATATGTCTCATATAAAACCATCTAAGTCGGAATAGAACAATTCAAGCATAGCCCTCACACAAATGTATATTTGACATTTAAGGCTTACAACAATGTCTTGAACAATAAGAGTGAAACAAATGTTTTTAGACTATAGCAAGTCACATAGGTAGAGTGAGAAAAGGCATCATCATCGGATCTTGAGGACATACCCACACTTGGAGAAATGATCCAAGCCTTCCCTGCAAATTGGCCACAAACCCTTCAACGAGCAGAACCTAAAATGTTTGGGAAAGGGGGAGAAATTGAGGTTAGTACATCACTTGTAATAAGTGTGGAAACATATCCACACAACTTAAAATCATGCTAAAGGGAACATTTATTCAAAACCATGTCAAGTTACTTGAAAAATCTTATGCACAATCAAGGACACATATAAGACAATAATCACATATTCCAAGATCAATAACATATTCAACACAAGACCAAAATCATCAAGTTAAGTCTAGTCGACATATATATAACATATTAGAATTCATAGCCAAGATAACTTTAACATCATGTTATGGCAACAAAGCATGCAAAAGAGTTCATACATTACAATGTATGCAAGACACTTACTCCTAACCCCTCACCAAGCTTAGAAGTACAATAACCAAGTGAAGCCCAATAACCCCACTCAATCAAGTAAACTAACCAAAGGATCACAAATAATTTCTAGCTTCATCTAACATAGCATCATGAGTATTCATCATCATATTTAGCAATATAGACCAACAACATATTCACAAGTGAAACCAACATCATATAGAATTATCAACATGTTCATAGTCAACATATGTACATCATTTACTTCATAAGACATGTGAACACCCTCCTAGGACTTCCCTCAAGGCCAACTAGTGCAATGTATAGGTAGAGTCTCACACCTCTACTCAGACTAAGTCAAAGCACTTTAGTCCTCCTAGTTAGAGTTCACATTATAACTTGCTTTAACCGACATAGACCACATGAGCTAATGTGAAATATGATGTCACAGAACCCTATATTGAAAGAATGTGGACTACATGCCATGGTCGTAATCTTAACATCGACAATGAGAGGATGCCAAAAGTATTTTGCTTTGACATATCTTCACACCCCCTAAGAAGAAAGGAGCTACATCTAAGTTTTGTATCATCCACTTCTTTTATGTATCTTCATTTTATGAAAGAAAAAATTTAATTTATTGAGCGAGTGCATACAACCCAACAGTATAAAAAAGATAAGTTTGAAATGTTTCAACTCTTTTAACAATCGTTCTGAATGCATAACAAAGTTGCGAATAAAATAGGATACGTACATCTCAAGGGAATTAAAATTCGTATTTGTCGGATCAAAAAACACATCACAGTAAACAAAAAAATTTGAGATGACTAGCCAGGACCATTGACAAGAATAAACACATGACAAACCATGCTTCCACTTTATAACAAGAAGCCGAACATGACCAAACGGGAAAGAATTCATGATAATTATACCACCACCATCCCCCCCCCCCCCCCCCCTAAAAGAATACTACTATCAAAAAGTTTTTTCTAGATGTGAGATGGTTCCTCGGCACAAAACAGCAAATACATCAAAGTTGTAGACCTTAGCTACAAATGACATGCCTACCAAGTATAAAGTCATATCCATCGGATCATCAGCTACAATGTCGGAGAAACAGAATCTTCTCGGATAAATACATGAGCATATTTCCTAATTCATGTCCATCTAACTCAGCTGATTACAGCAGAACCCATTGAGCAGTGCATTGATAAAAAATCTCTACATGCCCATAGTTGCTTCAACAATTTGTGCAAACCAAGTTTTGACTAACGGGATATTGTGGTAACAACTACTATGCTTTCAAGATTGACTGACATAGAGTACAGGGACAAGGCCGGCCATTTTCCCATCTCTTCCAGGACGTTTTTTCTTGACCTGAAAAAAGATAGCACCATCAATGTCACCAAATAATTATCAGAAACCACTTCTACATGCTTCCTTCTTCCTTAGAAGGCAAAAGAGGACAAAATAAAAATAATTGTAGGGAAAGACTGCACTTAACTTTGAAATTAACCCAACAAGAATATGATTATGAGTATCAGATCATCTTATGAAGGGATCTTCCCAAGCACATATCTATGTCACATAAAAGATGTCAGATAGAGTCTCTTTGACTTACCCAGTGAAACGCTTATGAAAGAACTGTCAACTGTGGTTCAAAAGTATCACTAAATTAGTGAATTCTCCACAATTTTTTCGAAAAAGTTGTCACTTCATCCTTCCCAACTTTATTTGGCATTGTTCGACTTGAAAGGAAGAAAGAGAGGAAGACTTTTGACACATGAGTTAAATATGCACATTCACTCATCAAACAATTTGTTTTCACACCCAGTGGTGCCTACAACAGTCCTGTGAACGGCAAGGTGGACATGTAAAATTGAACTAGCTATAAGTAAAGAAAAGTGTCGACCTTTTAGGGATAGACAAAAAAGGAGACGGTACTAAACAAAATGAAATGGAGAGAGTAGCAAATAGCAGGAAAGGGAAGGATTCTTAATTGGGACTCAGACCATATACCTATACTATTATATTTAGATTGATAATAGACGGATAAGTGCAGAGGAAATGGAACATTGTAATATAAATCTGTAGATCTGATACTTTTTAACAAACTCACCATAACCTAAACCTTTTCCTTTACCTTTTAGATATGTAATATACGAGCATAAGTTCTAGGAGAGTCATAGTTAAACCTACTTATTTAGAGCATTCCAATCAAAGAGCGACGTAATTAATATATGAAACACAATAATATAACTTGATTGATGATAAGATTAATGCAGTAACCAAGTTAAATATGCATATACACTCATATCAAACAATAACATACTTCTTTATGTTCATATATCTTCGGATTTAACATACAACACTAAAAACAAAAGTGTATGAGAGATTGGAAAAAAACATTCGATAAATGTGACACTGTTGAATCGGATCCTTCAAAAATCTCTGCCTCATCCATGTCTATCCAATGTGATTAGGGTGTGGTTGTGGGATCCCCACCTTGGTCAACCTAACCAGGGTGCGTTGACTAAAGCTACAGTCAAGAAGTATAGGTTGATCGGGTATTTGGTTTATGATATACATAAACACTCACATAGTACGAGAAAACTTTAGAATTATAATTAGGTGAACTCACATAAAAATTAATTTTTACCACAAATACTTTGTGGAGTTATTAAAGTTAACAAAGCTCAAGAAGCATAAACAGATAATCATATGTTCTAACCAAATTTCTAACAAGATATATACTTCTCTCTGTTCAAAGTATGTTATATAATATGTTACTGTATTTATCAAAATACTATATGTATAGCAATTTATACTACGCAATAGACATTTTTTCATTTGACTTAAATTAACAAAAATGGATTTAAATCACCTTGGTAATAAACAAATAAGTTGCTGTTCGACAATCTTAAATAATTGCCACATATTATTCTTGTATATTCATTAGCAGTATTCTAACACCCATATCCGCACTCAGCGCCATATACCCAGATCCCAAATTTAAAGTGATTACGAATCCGACCTCCAGATCCTCACCTATATCGATACCAGCACCCACATCCATATCAGAGCAGTTAAAATTCTTACTTAAGATATTGAAGCTTACATGAGGATTATCACACGAAGTAAAATGTGACAGAAGTACTAAGCAGACCTTAATCTTCCTAAACGGGAATTACAGATACTTTTAGTAAGCAAGAATGGAGTATGATTGCCATTTGGAAAAGGAGGATCTAGATCAATGCGATGAAGAGATCTGGTCCAATGTATCTTCCTCATAATTAAAGTGAGTTATGTGCATATACAATGAATACTATGGTGACACAAGTAAGCTTAATCACATTAGATGCATGATTTGTAAGGAAATGTGACTTGACAATATCCAATAGGAATTACTTACGTAGAACCAGCCATCTACTTCATACTCAATTTCCAACTCTTCCCCTGCTGTCAGATTAAGCTGCAAATCAGAAAATTTGAAAATTAATTTGCATCTCCAGTGAACCAAAAGAACCAAGGTGCAGAGAAGAAAAATTTGGACATAGTTCAACATCAGAATACATGTAAATGGGTACAACTTTATAAAAAGCAAGAAATGCAACATGTGGTGTCTTCATGCTCGCTACACATACCACCAGAAAGGATAATTAGATCATTAACCAGTCTTTCAGGGGAGAACATCTACCTCGTCATCTCCACCAGCTGTGAAGTCATAAAGTGCTGTACCAGACTGTGGGTTGCTAGAAGAAACTCGTTCCTCTTCATGGGATCCAAAACTGTGAGAATCAGACCCAGCCAAGGGATTCTCAAATGACTCATATCTTTCTCTTATAGGTGATGAATATGGAGGAGGCTCTTCTCTTATCTGCAAATTCCTTTAATAAAAGACTTGCGTCTCACATGACAGAAGACATGAAATTGATTGACAGGGAGGACTTACCAGGGAGCCCAGACCATCATATGAGGAGCCACTGTAGGAATTATTATTATATCGGCTCCCACCAGATTTCCCCTATCATAGGTAATAATGACCCTTTACAAACTAACACAGGCAGAAAAAAAGGAATCCAAAATGAAATACAACAGAGTCGCTGCTCAATAGAAGCAATGCAATTGGAGTATCAGAGATATTCTTTTCTTTTTATCTTTTAAATGTATAAGGAGAAAATATGACTTGTACCCCTTTTACCAAAAATAAGTTAAAAAGTCTATCCCAACTTCATAGTAGACTCTGTTGCTAGTGTATGTATTGCTTGGGACTAAAGTTGGACATATGCAAATTTATCTAATCAAATAAATAGGACTTTGTTATGATCCGAATTCCAAGCTTTTCACCACTATATCATATGATTCCCTCATTACATAACATGCACAAAGTGTAAGAAAGTTCACTATCCATGTACACTCGAATGTGTTAATCAGGTTCACTGATCCTTTAAGAACTGTTTGATTAGTTACTTATAAGAGAAAAAAACACCACATTCAGTATTATCATTTAATCTCATTTCCTATGGACCCCACTACGTGATGAAACAGAAAATAATGTGTTATCTTCACCCAATATTACCCTTTTAGAATGAATAAATTGCTCGGAGACGTAGATCTGTCCCCCTTAGATAAAGCAAAGTAAACCATAAGGGTTGGTTGGATTCCAGACGCTGTCTTCTGGTAAACTAAGACCCAAAATTCAATCTTTCAGATCTTGACTCGCTTATTTTCACCAGAGAATGGGTCCTCAAATGACATGAATAGTGCAAATTGAACATCATCATCGGGTCTTCATTCTTAAGACCTATTAGGTAAGTCAACTTCATGTGGTGTTACATAATTTTCTTCAGGTGCTATTTGTTATGTCTCCTTGTTACAGCTTAATTACACTCGGCATTAACATGTGGCCCCAAGTGTTTCATAGTCTACAGGTGTTCAACTCCAGGTGCTTGAGTACTTCTGAGTTTGTGAATGCTCCAGAGAGAACATTCTCTGGCCATGGCTTTTTAAGGTTATTGCACTTCAACTGGTATTTAGCAATCTAATTCACTCTTCCCTTCTAATTAATGTAAAATTTCTTTCACTTGAAGATTATTTTACAAACAAAAATACAAAGAGAATCAAGATGAATCACATCCATACCCATCCCTCCGCATTTCAAATTTGTGTAGTCTCAGGCTCTCAGCAAGTTAACATTCTACGGTGACCAAAAGAAGGCTGACCACAAGCAACTTCTGTGCTTCTATGTAGAACATTTTAACTACATTTATACACAAACAATTTGTACACTAGTCCTGATTACTGGTTTTCACAACATTCTATCCATATTTCCCAAGCAATGACCACATAAAAGCAGTTGAAAAGAAATGACATATATTACAGTGGAATGTTGACAGACATCAAACTTTACCGAATTATATGCCAGTAGGCTCTCATTTTCTTAGGAAGAATTTACTGTTTGGCATGTCAAGCTAAATAGAAGATAAGCCAAGTGGTAACAACATTATCTTTTGTATGTGGGGGAGGGATGAATTTTGCGGATGACAAGCGAGTTGCAATACACATTGTTTTGAATCCAGGTTTAATGAAAGAACAATGCTTACAGAAGTAGATTGTCATTTTGCTCGACAAATGATTGAATCGTGATGCATTGTGACAGGTCTCGTCAACTCAGCTAATCATATTCTTACAAAATCCTTTTGTGACTCCAAAACTGAATATATTTGTTTTCTTGCTTTTATGCCAGCTCATGTTCTAAACGAGTTGCACATACACCCTAGTGCATGATCCTTGACACAAGGGGCACCACTTAAGAGCAGGAGATTTTGTGACATTTCTGATTGTTGTCTTTTTTTTTTGAGAAGATAACATTTTTGTACAACTATTTGGTCATTAAAGCTACAACTATCCATACTTGCAAGGAAATATAGGAAGATGTATTTGTTTTTCAGAAGATAACATTTTTGTACAACTATTTATCGCATTAAAGCTACAACTATCCATACTTGCAAGGAAATGTAGGAAGATGTACTAAGCCATAACCTACTTACAGGGATCCTTGAACATCAATAAAAGATTTTGTCTTCCACATTTTCATGTTTACACCAAAAATAGAATAGGGCTAGGCACTTCATGTTCAGTTCCTGGATAGAGCTGTGATCGTCTTCAAAATACCTTTGATTTCTCTCTTCCCAAACTGTCCACCAAATGCAAGCAGGGATAATCTTCCATCTTTCTTTCTGTTCTGACTTCTGACTGAGTGCTACATTGTTCGAGCACTCCAACACCTCAAGTGAATCTCTTGGCATCACCCACATGATCCCTTTTAAATTAAGGAAAATCCTCCAAAGTTGTCCGGTTAACTTGCAGTATAAAGAAGAGATGGTTGATTGTCTCTGATTTTCTCCGCACATATAACATTTAGAGCATAAGTGGAAGCCCCTTTTCTTGAGTCCTTCATGTGATAGGACTGCTTTCCTGGCCACCAGCCAAATGAAACAAGCCACTTTGTGATGAATTTTGACTTTCCAAATTAGTTTCCATGGCCAACAATTAATCTGGTTGTTAGAATGGTCTAATTCTCTGTAAGCTTACTTTACTGAAATCTCCCTTGCACTTGCCATGTAAGATTGTCTTCCTGAGAGAGGGGCCTTCGAATAGACTGAGAGTGTTGTTGAATTCTGCCAAGTTATCTATCTCTCAATCATCAAGGTGTCTTCTGAAGCTTAGATTCAAACCATGAGCATCCTAGACTTCTCCTACCATGGCAGCTTGTTGTTATTCAGGCTGAAGATAATCGGGAAAAATTGCTTTAGTGGATGTTGACCTAACCAGCTGTCTGACCAAAAAGATGTTTTCAAACCATTACCCACTTGATGACTGCATTTACTCATGAATTTTGCCCCCAAATTTCTGATAGACCTCCATAGACAAACTCCATAAGGTGTAATGACTAGTGACTCACTTGATTGTCCATTCCCCATCCATTTCATACTTTTGACTAATTACCTTTTTCCAAAAAGATTGTTCATTTGAGGCAAACCTCCATAGCCATTTCATCAAAAGACTATGGTTCAGAGTTATCATATTCTTGATTCCCATACCGCCATACTTATTGCTGGCGATCACTGACTTCCATTTGACCAAATATATCTTCTTAGTATCACAGTTTCCTTGCCAGAAGAAGTTTCTTCTAAGAGCATCTATACTATCCACCATTTTTATTGGAACACGAAAAATGGATATCATATGAGTTGGTATGCATCCAACATACTGTTAATCAAGATTAATCTACCACCCAAGGATAAGCATTGACTCTTCTACTTAGTCAACTTATCCTCACACTTCTGTATGACTCCATTCCAGATATCTTTGGAATTGCTTTTGGCACCAAGGGACATTCCAAGGTAATGGTTGGCAGAACACCAGTTCTTCCTCCCAGCATATTAGCCAAGTTGTGAATGTCAGGGACATCATTAACGGGATATAGGGAACTCTTGTTCCAGTTAATGTAGAGCCCATATATAGCCTCAAAAAGAAAAAAAAATACCCTTAAAAATCTTATTTATCCTCTGTCAGCTCCACAAAAAACTAAAGTATATCGACGTATTGTAAAGAAGTGATTTCAAGGTTATTGACGACCCTTAAATCTACACTAAAAACTGTTATCCAGCTATTTGATTGGGCAGTTTTCATCATATCATTTAAACTCTCCATGGCGATGACGAACAAAAAATGGAACGATGGGTCTTCTTGCATTAGTCCTCTCTGAGAAGAGAAGAATCCAATGGGTGAGCCGTTGACTAGGATTGGGAACTTGATGGTGTTGATGCAACAGCAGATCCAGTTGACCCATTTTTCCCCAAAACCCATTTTCATCATAGTCCTTAGTAGGAAAATTCCAGTTCAAGTGGTCAAAAGCCTTTTGTATATCCAGTTCGCAAAGGATACCAGGCTCTTTGTTTCTGATTCTTGAGTCAACACATTCATTGGCTATAAGAATGGCATCCATGATTTGTCTCCCTTGTTTTAAGGCCGTTTGTTGATCATCCACCAGCCTGTGCATCACTTTTTTGAGTCTTTCTGTCAACATCTTTTAGATAATCTTGTTCATGCTTCCTATAAGAATAATAGGCCAGAAAACTTTCAACTCTTTAGCTCCCACCTTCTTGGGAATCAACGCAACATATGTAGCATTGAAATTTCTTTCAAATATGTCTCTTTCATGGAAGTTCTGAATAGTAGTAATGAACTCAGTGTTCACTACTTCCCAATAATGTTTGAAAAGGGCCATTCTGTAACCATCTGGGCCATTTGCTTTATCCCCACCACACGCTTGCAGACTTGGCCATATCTCTTGCTCTTCAAATGGACTTTGTAGCATCAGATTATCTTTGTGGGGATGGTGGGACAAACTTTCATGTTATCATGGGATCTCCAGTCTTCTATCTCTGCATAAAGGTTCTGATAAAAAGAGATGATCTCCTTTTTCATATCAACATGATTTCTTATGGAATCACCATAAATTTCTAGCAAGTCAATATTGTTGTATCTTCTGCGTGCATTAGCTGTTTTACGAAGCAACTTGGTGTTGTTGTCACAATGTTTCAACCATAATGCTCTTGATCCCTGTCTCCAGGTCATCTCCTCCATTGCAATCTCCTCAAAGTCCATAGTTAAGGCTATTTTGTTTCTTATTTCCTCCTTTGTAGAAATCCTGAGAAACATGATATTTTCAAGTTCTAATAATTGATTGAGTGTGTCAAACTTCTGCATCTCCAAGTTTCCTTGTAACGTTTTATTCCAGTCTCTAGGTTTGGCTTTCAAGGATTTTAGTTTGTAAGACAAATGTAGTCGGATCTGCCGACAGAGTTTAACAAGTCCCACCATTCCTAGACTCTTACTTTGTACCCTTCAGTTTGCAACCACCAATTTTCAAATTTGAAGTATGATTTGGATGATTCCCAGTTGCTGCACTGTAGTGATGAAGGCAAGTGGTCAGAGGTCACTCTTTCAAGAATTGACTATTTGATATTCCTGAATCTTTCATCCCATTCATCAAATATCAAAAATTTATCCAAGATTGCAGCAATGTCATGTCTCCCACATTTTTTTCCAAGTAAATGTCCCACCAGTCAGTTGCAAGTCTAGAAAGTCATTGATTTGTTAATTCTCTTGTTATTCTCCTTTTCTGATGGGAATCGAACTGTGTTGAAATCTCCAGATAATACCGAAGAACCTGAGAATAGACCTCTAGCAGCTCAAACTTCCTCCCAGACTCTCTCTAGTCTTTCTATCATCTGGTGCATATACGCCTGTTAAGTGCGAAGTGAGATCCTGTGTTTTTCCTGTGAATTGACATGTGATGGAGTGAGATACCTAGACTTTTACACTCTCCATTCCAGATTCTTTTATCCCACATTAGAAACCCCCCCCCCCCCCCGCCGTACCGCTGGCTTCAAGTTTGATGTGATCGACCCATCTGCTTGTCCAAAGATCTCTAAATAAGCCATTGATATGTCCTCCTTCAACTTTGGTACCTCTGCCTTCCAATTGTTTATGCAACTCTTAATCATTCTCCTGTTCCTTCCATCATTCAATCCTATGTGACAAGTTAGGAGTATACTATATGTACACTCCAACTAATGGGATTGTTAAGAATTAGGAAATGAATAATATGGCAAGAACCCATTCCTTGTACATATGGGAAAGGTTTAAGAGTCCTTATAACTATGTAACTGAAAATAGGAATTATGTTCGTCCTTTAAGGATTATTTTCCTTTCCTTTTTAGGATTACTATTAAAATTATTTAAATCCGAACATGCTTGAGGAAATAATAAAGCAATCCATTCCTAACATCTCTTACCTTCCTTCTTTAGCAAATCAGTGAGGAAAACATAGCCCTGAACAAATACAATTTATCAATGAGGTTTTGGTTTATGAATAATGATGTCCATTGCTTGTTACAGGAGGCGTGCTTAAGCCCTGAAGCGAGGCTCAGAACGTGTTGAGTGTTTTGCCTTGCTTATTGTGCACTTCAGTGTCGTCATCAAGGTTCTAAGACATACTTTTCCTTGCCAATGGTCCTCTTCTGAAGAGACTACATTAAAGAAAACAATATTTCCATTTATCGTAATTATTTATCAATCTCTTTGTTCATATATTTGTCTTCAAGCTAATAAATTATTAGTCTTGGACTAAACATATATACATGTATTCTTTTCTACCTTTGCGCCGTTTTTAATTTAAGTTCACGCTTTATTTGAGCCTAGAGCCCCAACAGACTTGGAGCTTTTTTGCACTTTTAGCTTTTGATGACACTCGGTCATCAGTATATTTGTATAGTATTATATAATATTAGGTAAAATATCTTATTAAACCATATGGTACTTCATCAAACATAAAAAATTTTAGGCCAATGTTTTCCTCAAATTGATAAGTTAACATGTCAATTAACAAAATAGATCAACTGAAATAATTGTCCACATTAGCATGTACAGATAAGGAGTTCCGTGAAACATGCCAAACATTCTCAACGCATTAAATTTAAAGAAGACTTAAAATGCAAACTACCTACCTTGGATTGTGTAGATGGTTTAGAACTAAATAACGATGGATAATTCATTCCACCAAAGTGGGACGATATAGACGTCTCGACTGACCCTACTGAGTCTGGGGAGGAAGACCCTGACGATCGTCCATCATCTTCCTGCAGTCACCAATCATATAAATGTATCATTTTTACGATGTTGGAGTAAATGAAAGAGACATATACTCAAGAACATTACCTCCATTTCCGAAGATTCTAAGAGAGTCTTTGCCCACATATCATCATAACTCATGGAAGGTCTAGAAATAATATTCTCCTCCTCAACATCAGGAGCATCAGTACCAGCACCGGCAAGAAACTCGTTGACCTATGGAAGAAAGAACTTTTTAACAAGCATGAAAAGATCCCTACTGTAGGGGCTCTGATATGTTTAACTGTATATAAATTATAAGGTTCCATAATATGTTTTTGAGCAAAACAGAAAGATAGTTCTACGCCAAACAAATTCAATACAATTCAATACATACTTGAGACACATCTAGAGAACAGATTTCTAAATGAAACTAGACAGTAAATAACATATTGCCTATCAACTTGTCGTGTCAGCTCCATGTCCAATGAAACCATAGATAAATATCCAAGCTACATATGACATAGAGAACTGAAAAGTTGTGAGCATGTTTCTTTAGTTTGATTCATTAAGCTGTAAAATTTGAAAGCAAGAACAGAAAGGTGAAGGGACCAGTTTATAGGTTCAAAACATCACTCAAATACTTACCCTGTTAATTGCAGGTGCATTGTTCAAGCTATCATCACCAAGATTTGCAGCCCAGAAGTTCACAAGGTCATCATCAATTGATTCAGGCTCAGCAGCTTTTGTATTAGTAGATTCATACATAAGATCAGAGATGCCCGTGGCTACAGCCGGATCGCTGAGTCCAGTTGACGCACTTATATTATGCCGAGTGCGATAGACATCGATTAGCTTTGCGCTGTTTGTCATATAGAATTTTATTCAGTGCATTGTAAAATTTTTTGAAGAGTCTAAGCACAATACCCATCAATTAGCACATAAAAATGTGTAAATATATGACATACGGGCCTAACTCAACCCCCAAAACTTAGCTCATGAGGGAGGATTGCCCAAGTCCATATAAGGAGACCAGCAGTCCATTCCTCAATCAATTTGGGACTTTTACCCACTCTAACACCCATTCGCCTTCACAACCAGGCCGAACTAGAGCTTGGACCGGGAGTCCAAACAGAGATGGACCTACCATTGATACCAGGTAAAGATGGATCTTCGGCCTAACTCAACCTTAAAGAAGCTTATAGGGTGCGGATTGTCCAAGTCAACATAAGGAGACCAACCGCCCATCCCTTTTCTATGTGGGACTTCTTTACAAGATGAAAAACAACTGTTGAAGATCTTGTCAAAGTCAATGCAACACCAAAAATGGAAAATAATTGGGTGAAATGCAAGCAAAGCAGGGTTTACACCAATTGGGGATTATAAATAAATATTTCATTTTTTATAACTAAGAATTCATTTTTCATGTACCTTTGCCAACTGTTTTACTCAAGAGACAGTTGATGTGATGTACCATTTCCCCATCAAGTGAATGACTATGAACTATCAAGTGGTTTTGAGGAATCTTGACTTACCATTGTGGAGTGGCATGCCCAAACATTTGCAAGTTCTAAGAGAAGCTTTATTTATCAGAAGAGTGCTAAGGTCTAAGGCAAATAAGTTTCTAATAAGGATATATTTCTTTAATGTTATCTTCCCACAACGAAGTACATTTTAACAAGGTAAAATTGGGAATCCATGGATGCGAAGCGGGATCTACAGGCCACAGGCTACCACGAGAAAGAAAAGTCCCACACTACGATAGAGGGCCACCCATCTAGTGCATACTAACTAAGGTTGCTCAAAAGTTGTCGAATAAAGATATATATCTTTACATTATCGTCCCACGTATTGAAACACTTTTCAACAAAGTAAAATTGGGAATCCCCATATGTGAATCACACACATCGATAGGTGGCCATCCATTATGTACATACTTCACGACCTGAATAGTTTATTTTGTTAACACATTTTCTTGAGTTCAAATATTGTAGGTATTTGCCTGTCAACCTACATATGTGTGGGTCTACAATTTAGAATTCATTACTTAGGACCCGTTTAGTACTTAGGACCCGTTTAGCCATAGACTTTGGAAGCACTTTTAGGGGAACTTTTTTGGCAAAATCTGTTTGGCCATAAAATTTTTAGTTTTATTGTAGATTTTGAAAATCAAATCACAAAATCTGCTAAAAATTTGTTTTTGGGCCAACACATAGCTATTGATTCCTTTTAAAATGTTAAAACTTAGCCCAAAGTTGTATATTTACAAAAAAAAGGGGGGGGGGGGGGGGGAATCTCTTTATGGTTCCCCAACTAATTCCTATCTACTCTTTTCAGTTATGTGATCTGGAAATACATGCTCTCCATGAAAAGATTGTTCATAGAATTTGAAAAGATTATATTAAGAATGGTTAGTTACTACTGTTGTAATTATTTATATCTTTCACTGATGGATCATCATAACTAATTGTAATTTGATGGATTGTAGCAGCTAGTAATTGTGTTAGTAGTAGTTTTTTAAAATCAAAATAGGTCTTAGTCTTCAACGTAAAAAGTGAAATAAATTCAGTTGAATCAATTGTGTTGTGATTTTAGGATAATGTATTATCTAGTTTATTATAAAAATGATAATTTTGTTCCAAACTTATAGTTTCTGATAGATTTTAAAACTTCTTGTTACTTTTGATAGTTTATAGAACTTATGGGTACAAGTCATGTTTCAAGTCTCAAAAAAGTGAAATATGTTTCCAAAAATTATGGCCAAACACATTTTGAAACTTCCAAATCCAAACCTCGCCCCTAATTTCCCAAAAATATTTGGGAATCTATGACCAAATGCTAGCTTAATCAAATTCTCATAAATACTTTATTATGCCAGATATTGCAACTAATTCTTACATTTGCTTTCGATACTATTTTCATACATCCTCACAATTTTATAACTTTTACCAATTTAGAACTTTATTTCATTTTTATATCCGTATATGGAACTAACATTCCATCCTATGACAAATAAGATGATTCAACCTACGTCTCCACCTCCTAAAGCCAGTGTTGTCAAAAGCGCGCTTAAAACCTAAAGCGAGGTACCAAAAATTGGGTGTTTTACCTCGCCTAGAGAGCATTGTAGTGTCATCATCAAGGACCTAAGACATATTTCCCTTGCCACTGAGTGGTAATCCCAAATAGGTGGCACGTAAAAAATTGATATGTCACTTTCACAAATAAAGTTTCAATTTCTTCGACCATACATTTAATATTCATGCTTATAATTATTAGTCTTATGCTAAACATACATATTTGTTTTGTTTTTTTTTTCAATTGTGCTTTTCTTCATTAAAGCCCACACTTGAATTGCATCTTGCGCTTAAAGCCCCGACAGACCTTAGTGTTCTTTGGGCTTATTGCCTTTGACAACATTGCCTAATACACTCCTAACTCCTAACAAGTGAATTGATGTTCACACTCTGTCGCTCTTGCATAAAACTAACGACAATTCATTGAATCCTCAAAGTACAAGCTAAGGGAAATTTAAGAATAGCATACCTTGTTGGCCCTAAAGGAAGATACTTTGATCTTGGAACATAACAGAACAGAGAAACGAGATCCAAGAGCCTCTCATGAGTTTCATATAATTTCTTTAGTTCCTCATCCGTCCATTCTTTTTTTGCATTATCATGATTGCGCATATCTCTACATATTCAAGCACAATGTGTTAATGAGGACCACAAATGGTCCAATAGTGTTGAAAGAGCCAGAATAGTGTACTTACTTTATTAATTCATCCTGCGCAGAATACATTCCATCAAGGACCTTCAACATAGGACCAATTAAAGATCCAAGGCCAGTGCCACTGGATCCCTGGTCCTCTCCATTGCTAATATGCATATCTGAGAACTGAGACTGTACACCACCCTGGACTAAGGCATGTAAAAATTCATAAATCTGTAACCTATATGGCTCGCCAGATCGAATTGCAATAGTTGTAAGAGCCTGGGACGCAATTATACGAACCTGAAATTTGACATTTGTAAGAAGTGAAACCACGGAACACTCAATAATTACATTTTTAAATTATAATACACTCAATGTTGTATATTGAGAATAATATGAAGCATTTATAGTTGGATTAATAACTAGAACTAACTAAGCTATACTGATATATTTGTATACACTTTTTCAGTGGAGGCAATAACTTGATGCAATTTAGGATGGATTTGCTCCAGAACACCACCAAAAGTTTAAAACACAAAGGCAGCTTAACTTTTCATCTTCAGCAACCGGAAAGGAAACTCAAAGTACTCGCCATTAATAAGATTATAAACAAAGCAATTCCCAGTTTCTAAAGTAAATAGAGAAGTTGATTGGACACAGTTTTACGATGAATTTGCTCTTGAACACAGCCTATGGTGCAAAACACAAAGGCAGATAATTTTCATCTTTGACAAAGAGACTGAAACTCGAGCTACTCACAATTTATAACATCATAAACAGTGTTGTGAAAGGTGATCGCTTCTTCGCCGAGGCAACCCTTCATCGCCTTTTAGCTTTGTGGTGAGGTGATCTCCAAAAGGCGACGCCATGGAGACAATCGAAAAGAAAGGTGAGAGGCGATAAAGGTGTCGCCTTTTGTATTTTCTGTTTCTTTTTTTTTTTAAAAAAAAGGCAACCAATTTAGGGTTGTTAGAATCCTAGGAATATTCTATAGTAAATGTGTACATATAGTAGGCAGCTTGATTTCCTCCTAGCTTTACTCTAGCCTGATTGGTATTAATTTGCATTGATTATGTATTGATTTCCTTTCCTTTTTCAGACATGCATACTTAACTATTTAAACCCCAATAGCTTGTGGGAATAATCAAGCTGAGTTCTTTGTCAAACTCTTTTCTTCTCACATGGTATCATAGCAAACAGGTCATCCACACTGAAACATTAGTGATCATCCACGTGAATATTATCATCTCAATTTCACCAACTTATGTCATCCCATGGAATTCTTCTTCAGCCATCCTGTACATACACTGCAAACAAAATGGGATTGCATAGAGAAAAATAGGCATATTGTTGAGATTGCACACACATACAAGCAAATGTTCCACTGCGACTTAGGGATGAAACAGTGCTCACCTCTTATTATTTGATTATCATATGCCTCCCCCTGCTATTCATAATCAGGTACCACACTCTGTTTTGTTTCCCAAGTCAATCTATTTTATGACAAGGGAAACCTGAAGCCGCTACCCTTTGGGTGCGCACATGGTAAAACCCTCGCTCTTGTGCAATAGCTCGCAAACCACATAGGAGAGGTAACTCGTACCAGGCAAACCCCTTGCTTTTGCTCGCAAGGGGTTTCGAACTTGAGACCTCCAACATGAAAGTCCCAAGCTCAAACCACTGTTCAACCTTATTCTTTCTCCCAGCACGCGTCTTTGGGAGGACATGCTTTTTCCACATACTCACTCCAGGAAAAGATATATTTGCTCCATGTACTCTTGATCGTCTCTTTCCTGGTTATCAAGGGTGCATAAGGGATATTGATGCTTCTCACCTAACATCCACTGATACTGTATGTCAGTTGATGTTACATTATTGAAGGTCAGACCTACTTTACATCCTCATCTGCTCAACAATTAGACATTTCCAAGGTTATACCACTTCCATCCTGTGGGGATCCTGCCATAATTTATCCCAACTCCTATGACTCCATCTTACTCCTCTGCACCTCCACCATCGTTAACCTTTCATCTCGTCCACACCCACATGATTCACGTTATCCGCCAGAATCCTTGCCTGTTGAGGACTTGTTTACCCAGGGTCCTTCCATCGTCACTTGAAAAGGTAATCGCTCTACTTGAAATCCTAATCTTATCTTTACTTGTTTGAGCTATCATCATTGTCACAAGCCCATCTTGCCTTTGTATCATCACCATCATTTGTGCCTGTTCCTAAGACTACATGTGAAGCTCTTTCTTATATAGGCTGGAAACAAGCCATAGTTGAAGAGACGTCTACATTACACTCTAGTGGTACTTGGGAGCTTGATAAATCTACAATTGGTTGTCAGTAGTATATACCGTGAAGGTTGGCCCCGACGGATAGATTGATTGCCTAAAAGCTCAACTAGTGGTCAAGGCGTTAGAGTAGGAATAAGTATTTCTTACTTAGAATAGGAATTAGAATAGGAATAAGAATAGAAATTCTAGTTGGAAAAGGTTTCCAATGTAGTGTCTATAAATAGGGTCTTCATGTAACAATTTAGTTATGCAATTCAATAATATTTTCTCCAATATTTCTCACATGGTATCAGAGCAATTGTGAGAAAAAAAAATTAAGAAAATTAATATTTTCCGGTAACCAAGTTGCTATCCGGATAATTATTATTTTCCGTCACTGTTTTCATAAAATTGACACCACCACTAGCTGCAGAATTTCACGTTGAGCAAAGCCCAGTCATCCCCACCGGAAACCTGTGCTACACGGGCCGTCACGCACCGCCAGTAGGATTTTTGTCGGCGAACTGTCAGACCCACGCGCTGGTGCTTGACTTTTTCCGGACGATTTTATTCGACAATTTTTATTTTCTATCTGAGTCTCCTCTTCATTCCGAGGTTGACTATTTAATTATTTTTTTCTGATACTGACCAGATTCGATCGTCGGAATTAGGGTTCCGGCTATTCTCAGGCTGTTTTTGGCAAAAAAAATTCGAGATTTGAATTTTTCGATGATCAGATCTCAATAATCAAGATTTTCTTGTTGTTCCTGAGACAAATTTATCATAATGTCTTTTGGATGTGATGTTTTTGGTTCTTAAAATATAGGAATTGAAAATTCTAACCCTACAATCACTTCAGAACTTCTATTGGGAAGTTCAAACTATTTATCTTGGGCTTCGTCAGTTGAATTGTGGTGCAAGGGTCAAGGTGTACACGATCACTTAACGAACAAAAGTTATGTGGTAGATGTAAAGGCAAAGACTACGGAGGAAGATGCAAAAGTCAAAGAACATTGGGAGAAAGTAGATGCTCAATTTCAGCCTTAGAATATTTATCATCCCAATTTCAGCAATTTATGTCTCACCACGGAATCATTCACCAAACATCTTGTCCATACACTCCTCAACAAAATGGTGTCGCAAAAAGAAAGAATAGGCATCTCATAGAGACTGCTCGCACTCTCCTCATTCAATCCCATGTTCCGCTGCGTTTTTGGGGCAATGCAGTCCTTTGAGCTTGTTATTTAATTAACAGAATGCCCTCTTCATCTATTCAGAATCAAGTTCCACATTCCATATTGTTTCCTCAATCAAATCTCTATCCTATTCCCTCTCGTGTCTTTGAGAGCACATGCTTTGTTCATAATTTAGCCCAAGGAAAGATAAATTAGCTCCTCATGCCCTCAAATGTGTCTTTCTTGGTTACTCTAGAGTTCAAAAGGGTATCATTGTTGTTTACATGATATTCATCGATACGTTATGTCAGCTGATGTTGCATTTTTTGAGTCTCAACCTTACTATACATCTTCTGATCATACTGATGTCTCTACCGTCTTACCTATACCTCATGTTTTACCTGTGCCAACCTTTGAGGGATCTACAGTTACGTCTACATCTCCATTTGCAGTGCAACCACTACTAACTTATCATCGTCGTCCACGTCCAACCCTAGTCCCAGATGATTCATGTCATGTGCCAGACCCTGCTCCTACTGCGGACTTGCCTCTATCTAGCCCACCGCTTGCACTTCAAAAAAGGTATACGATCTACTCAAAATACTAACCCACATTATACCTTCTTAAATTATCATTGTCTATCATCACCCCATTATGCCTTTGTGTCGTCTTTGTCCTCTGTTTCCCTTCCTAAGACTACAGGTGAAGCACTTTCTCATTCTGGATGGAGGCAGGCTATGGTTGATGAGATGTCTACTATACATAAGAGTGGTACTTGGGAGCTTGTCTCCCTTCCTGCAGGTAAATCTACTGTTGGTTGTCGTTGGGTTTATGCAGTCAAAATTGGTCCAGATGGTCAGGTTGATCGACTTAAGGATCGCCTTGTCGCCAAAGGGTATACTCAGATATTTGGGATAGATTATAGTGACACTTTCGCTCCTGTGGCTAAAATAGCATATGTTCGTCTTTTTCTATCTATGGTTGTCGTTGGCCTCTTTATCAGTTGGACATAAAGAATGCTTTTCTGCATGGTGATCTTAAGGAAGAAGTCTATATGGAGCAACCACCTGGTTTTGTTGCTCAGGGGGAATCTAGTAGCCTTGTATGTCGATTGCGTAGGTCACTCTATGGTCTGAAACAGTCTCCTCGAGCTTGGTTTTGGAAGTTCAACACAGTAATTCAGGAGTTTGGTATGACTCGTAGTGAAGCTGATCACACTGTGTTTTATTGACATTCTGCACCAGCTCAATGTATCTATTTGGTTGTTTATGTGGATGATATTGTTATAACTAGTAAGGATTAAGATGGTATCACCGATTTAAAGCAACATCTTTTTAAGCACTTTCAGACTAAAGACCTTGGCAAATTGAAGTATTTTCTAGGTATTGAGGTTGCTCAGTCTAGATCAGACATTGTTATCTCTCAACACATGTATGTCTTAGACATTCTTGAGCAGACATGAATGATGGGATGTAGACCTATTGACACTCCGATGGATGCGAATATTAAACTTCTTCCGGGACAGGGGGAGCCACTTAGTAATCCTGACAGGTATAGATGACTTGTTAGAAAGTTGAATTATCTCACAGTGACTAGACCAGACATCTCTTTTCCCGTGAGTGTTGTAACTCAGTTTATGACTTCCCCTTGTGAGTCATTGGGAAGCAGTTGTTCATATTCTTCAAATATATAAAGTCAGCCCCCGACAAAGGACTACTCTTGGAGAATCAAGGTCATGAGCATATCATTAGATATACAAACGCTGATTGGGCAGGATCACCCTCTGACAGATGTTCGACATCCAGATATTGTGTTTTAGTTGGAGGTAATTTGGTGTGGTGGAAGAGTAAGAAACAAAATGTGATTGCTTGATCTAGTGCAGAATCAAAATATCGAGCAATGGCGACAACAACTTGTGAGTTAGTTTGGCTCAAACAGTTACTGGGAGAACTAAAATTTGGCAAAATTGATCAGATGGAACTTGTGTGTGATAATCAAGCGGCTCTTCATATCGCATCAAATCAAGTATTTCATGAAAGGAATAATCACATTGGGATTGACTGTCACTTTGTCAGAGAAAAGATACTCTCAGAAGATATTGTTACATAATTTGTGAAGTCAAATGATCAGCTTGCAGATATGTTCACCAAGTCTCTCACATGTCCTCGTATTAATTACATTTGTAGCAAGCTAGGTGCATATGATTTGTATGCACCAGCTTGAGGGGGAGTGTTAGAATATGAATAAGTATTTCTTACTTAGAATAGGAATTAGAATAGGAATAAGAATAGGTTGGAAAAGGTTTCCAATGTAGTGTCTATAAATAGGGTCTTCATGTAACAATTTAGATATCCAATTCAATAATATTTTCTCCAATATTTCTCACACAAGGGTTATACATAGATTTTTGGTCTTGACAATGGTGATGTGTTCTCTCCTATGGCCAAGATTTCTTCAGTGTTTAGTTTCTCTTTTTATCCATGGTTGTGTTTCGTCATTAGCCTTTCTACCAGTTGGATATTAAAAATGTCTTTCTTTATGGAGCAACCACCTGGTTTTGTTGCTCAAGGGGAGTGTAGTAACATGGTGTGCAAACTATGACGAGCACTTTATGCCCCGAAGTAGTCTCCTCAAGCATGTTTTTTCAGCAGTTTTGGCATGTTACAAAATGAAGCTGATCAATTTGTGTTTTATTGTCACTCTTGCTTCAAGTTTGTGCTTGTACTTGGTAGTGTATGATAATGACATAGTTATCACAGGCAATTATGACGAGGGAATTACCAAATTGAAACATCACCTTTTCTAGCACTGTTAGACAAAGATTGAGGTACTTCTTGGGCATTGAGGTTGCTCAATCCAAAACACGAATTGTCATTTCAAAAAGGAAGGATGCACTTGATATTCTTGAAGAGACGGGGATGGCAGATTATAGTCCTATTGATTCACCAATGGATTCAAATGTTAAGCTCCTACCAGGTCTAGGGGGAGCCTCTTAGCGATCCAGGAAGATATAGAAGGCTGGTAGGAAAGTTGAATTATCTACCTTCCGATTAGTGTCGTAAGTTAGTTCTTGAATTCTCCTTGTGATAGTCATTGGAATGCCGTTATTCGCATTCTTTGATACATAAGATCTGCTCCCAGAAAAGGACTTTTTTATGAGGACCAAGATAAGAGAAAATTTTTGGATATCCAGATGCAGATTAGGCAAGGTCACCCTCTCCAAACAATCCACTTAAGGATATTGCTTTCTAGTTGGGGGATATCTGGTATCTTGGAAAAGTAATAAACAAAATGTGGTTGTTGATCTAGTACAAAAGAAAAATATCAGGCTATAGCAGTGGCAACATGTGAACTCATATGGATCACGCAACTACTAAAGGAGTTGAAATTTGGAGATACTAAAGGAATGGAACTAGTGTGCAACAATCAAGTTGCACTTCACATTGCATCGAATATAGTATTTCACGAGAGGACCAAATACATAGAGATTGTTTATCATTTTGTTAGAGAAAAGGTACTTTCAAGAGACACGGTCATAAGGTTCTCGCCATCAAGAGATCAGTTTGCAGACATTCACCAAGTCCTTAGCAGGTCCCAAAACAAGTTATACATGTAACAAGTTTGGTACATAGAATTTATATGCACCAGCTTGAGGGGAAATGTTAGAACCCTAGGAGTGTTCTATAGCATGTGTAAATATAGTAGGTAGCTTAATTTCCTCCTATATTTACGCTAGATTAATTTTGATATTGATTTGTATTGATTAGGTATTGATTTTCTTTCCTTCTTAGGACATGTACACAGAGGTATTTAAACCCCTATAGCTTGTGGGAATAATCAAACTTAGTTCTCTCAAACTCTTATCTTCTCACAAGGGTTTTACAAGTTAAAAATGTAATTTCGGATTTTCTTTCCAGAATAGCACAGTTGCACTCTTAGCCTGCGACTGCGACTCCGACCAGTAGACTCGACTAGACTTCTCCGACGACAAGCCAGACTTTTTCGGTGACTCCAAACTACAACCGATATGTATTTTTTCTTTTCTTCTTCATAATTCCTTTCCTGCTTCTTCAGACTTCAATGTTACTTCTGCCTCTGTTTTTTCCCTTAACTTTTTTGACTTTTTTTTCTCTTCAAGTTCTAGACTTTTAGTATGTACTATCTATTTTAAGTTTTTGAATTGAAATATTTGCTAACATGTTAATTGCTATTCAGATTTTAATTATTTATATATGCAATTTAATATTTTAATTTTTAGGCATTAACTGGCAGCGCACTTCAAAAGGCGCTCGGCGCTCGCCTCGCCTTGTGGCAAGGCAGACCCTTGTCGCCTTTCACCGTCCAAAACACTGATCATAAACAAAATAGTTCTTAATATTGGGAGGGCCATTTAATGAAATAACTTTGAAGATAAAACAATGAAAAGTAAACTTTATGGAGACGGGTCATAAGCTGCAGGGATGAGGCAATTGGGACACTGGAGCACCAAACCAGTCAGAACATCATATGGAGTTGGCAATTGAAAATCCGTTAGGAATCTTTGGGAGGAGTTTGTAGGAAACACAGGTTTCAAGATGGATAATGGAAGGAGAATTTCATTCTGGAATGATGACTGGCTTGGCCATGGAGCACTGAAAGACCTGTTCCCCGGTTCATTTGTCTCAATGTATCCTACTATAGAAGAATCTTGAAGCCCCTAGGATTGAAAGTATCTTCCAGAAGGCTTCTTAATTAATAGGATGTTACTAGAGTCACTGAGTTTCCCATCCACCTAGAAAGCTTTACAGGATTAAATGGAAAAGAAGAAGCAACTCAGAATTCAGACAGAGCAGCATACTACTATCTATCATCTACAGGGAAGTCCAGCGCCTCGTGCTGGAAACAGATTTGGAAGATCAAATTGCCATCTGAAGTTGTCTGTCTTTCGTGGCTTACAAGAAAAGCTTGCCATACGGGAAATTCTTCAGAGAAGAGGCTTTCAGCTCAGTCTTAGGTGCTTTTTATACCAGCAGAAAGCTGAAAACAATGACCATTTATTACTAGCAAACTCTGGCAACTTTTGTAGCATTAAGCTGACACTAGTTGGGTGATTCCTACACACACTTTTGGCCTGATATGCAGCTGGAACAGTATAAGGGGAAGAACATGTCACAAGGAATGGTGGAAGATTGTCTTAGATTTGCCTATGGTGGATAATTTGGAGGAATACCAGTTGTTATGAAGGCAAGAGCAGCCCAACCAAAAAAATCAAGAGTACACACATTTCTCCTTTTCATTTTTGGTGTAAAGAACAATTTACAAATGATGCAGAATCATTGACAAACCTTTTTGACTCCTTGTTAAGAATTACAGGGGTTTGCATTAGTGAATATTAGATACAAGCCCTGCTTTGGATGCTGACGGATATAACATGTTACCATTATCAAGAGAATATTGGCAGTGACAACAAGATAAACACACTGTTCCATTTTATTTAACCTGGTTATAATCTGGAAACTCTAAAAATACTTTTTTTATCATATTAGTTAACTTTCCATGTATTCTTCAAATCCACAGTTCCATATTTTTAAAAACAAAATAATCAATGTTAGATAAAGAATTGATCAAGTTGCCCATAAATTTTTTGGAAAAAAGGGAGAAATATATGTTCTCATGTTCTTCATATTCACAACTAATAAGCATTCGTAACCAATAACCAAAAGCATAAATCATGTATGGAAAATATCAAAGCTTGCCAAATAAGAAAAACTTTTTGAGGGCTTAAAACTTCTACCTCCCAGCTTCCATTGAAAGCACACCGTTGGAGCCTAGTCAGAGCACCAGCCAGAGTAGGATTACGAGAACTGGCAGCAGCAACCATCTTATCTGCATCTAACATCATCAACGCTGTACCTGGAGGGGTTGCTGACTCCCAAGCATACTCAGAGGCAGCATAATTTGCATTTTCCCCAAGGAACCAAACCTTCAAGTATGTCAGAACCCATTCAGAAAAATAAATGCAGTCATGACAGATAGTTTCTAGATTATGGTAACTCAACTATCAACAAATTAATTCGTAGGTGAAATTCTTACTGCTGCTTGGACCATTCTCTGCAATGCCAGCGCAGACTTTGGGTCAGAAGCAGATACACTGTCAACTGAGGTAAGTCCAGACATTGAGCCAGGTTGCGGAGGAGGCAAATCCAGAACTATAGTAACTGCTTCCAGTGCGGTGTGTTTTCCATCTGGACCAGCTCCAACTAGACAGGTCTAGCAATGACATTATAAAATAGATTAGCACGAAGGTTTGTTACATGAACCAGCACAAATTGCAAAACTTGAAAAAACGACATATTGGCGACACTGGGAAAAGTATTGAATTCTAAAAAGATCAAGTTAAATGTAGCATGCGAGAGAAAAGAGGATGTGCATTAGCAAACAATGTCAAAGCTCCATTTAATTGAGTGGAAGAAAAATTCTGTAAATTATACTGCACTGCCTGATGAAAATAGCATCCTCAGGAGTACAATCACATAAGAATACCAATACCATTGATCATTGATGATCACAAATAGAGAAACCTAACATTGATGATCACAAATATGGAAAACCTAAGGTCAGATTCTAGTCACACATTGACACGCTGATCTACATATTAAAAACCTTTTTTTGCACATTTGGTCCTTTTTTAGGAATTGATGAGTGGACCTGATGTAGCGAGATATCGTGCTAAACAAATTGAGTGCGCACTTGGAGAAGGAGAGAGCGGGTGAATTAGGCTGAAGAGGGCCTGGAGAAGAGAGAGAGAGTAGGCTCAATGAGTAGAGTAGTAACTAGTAGTCCTGGAACAAAGTTAGTGACTCATTTGACTGAGGAGATATGAGAAGAACCTAGAGTTGCTATATGGGTTAAGCTGAGCGAAAGAAAACCAGCGCAATACAGCAGGTAGAGAAAAGAGGGTTTGTGAAATGGGCTTACAAAAGTTTAGGTCAAATACCATGTTAACAAAAATGGACTTTAAGCGTAACTCATCCTCAAAAGCTAGCTCATGAGGATTGCCCAAGATCACACAAGGAGGCAAGTGATAAAAATACATTTTCTCAACCAATGCCGGTAGTGCCATTAAAACCATCACTTTAGTGATGAGAAGTGATTGTTATCACTACATTGGTGAAGTATGCGTTTCAGATAAGCGTATTCTTCAACAATGAAGCCTAAATGATCAAAACAAGAAGCGGTAAGTTCTTTAAATTTCACTTTGAGGATTTGGATTAATATTAGCACTTACTATGCATTGGATTGGATTAACATTAGCATTATTATATTGGATGCTGAAATAAACTATTTTTATTGCTATCATAGCTTTGATCCCCAAAAAATTGAAGCCTTAGAGTTGAAGGACTATAGAGTAATCAGTTTGATAGGAGGAGTATACAAAATCACAGCCATGCTATTGGAAAAGCGACTGAAAAAGGTGGTAAGAAACCTGGTCAACAAGAATCAGATGGCTTTCATTATAGGGGGGACAAATCATGGATGTTGCATCAATAGCTAGTGAATGCATAGACTCAAGATTGAAAGGTGGACATGCAGGTGGATTATGCAAGTTGGACATCCAAGAAAGCTTATGACCATGTAAATTGGTCCTATATGTTGAACATTAAGACAAATGGGATTTTGCAACAAGTGGCTGAAATGGGTAGAAGTATGCATCAACACAGCCAGATTCAGTCCTTGTAAATTGAGTCAGGAAGGGGAGAAGAAATCATTCACTTATTATATGCAGATGACACCATCATAATGTGTGAACCAAAAGCTGAACAGCTGAAGTTTATCAGATTGATTTTGAACCTCCTTGAAGCAGTGTTAGGCCTAAAGGGTAATTGGGGAAGAGTAGCTTGATTCCTGTTAAACAAGTACCCCAAATTCAAGGGTTAGCAAACATTTAGGGGTGTAAAATTAAAGGATTGTCAACAACCTATTTTGGGCATGCCTTTAGGGAGCAAACACAAAGCACTGAAGATTTGGGATGGGATTCTGGAAAAGACAGAAAGGAAGCCAGCAAGATGGAAAGCATAATGCCTCTCATTGGGAGGTAGAGTGATTCAGATTAAGTCTGTACTGAAGTCTGAACTGCCTCCGCACTTATTTTATGTCCTTATTCCCGATTCCTTCAAAAGTTGTCGAGAAACTGGACAGGATTAGAAGGAACTTTCTATGGCAAGAAGGGAAAGAAGGCAAGGTTACTATATGGTGAAGTGGAGTATTGTAATGCTGAACAAGGGAAGAGGAGGCCTGGGTATCAGAAATCTAAAAGTTCAAAACAGAAGTTCCTTAATGAAATGGCGATGGATATCAGTGAGGATAAGGCACTCTAGAAAGGAGGTAATAACAATAAAATATGGAGAGTTGAGTCCTAGGTGCACAGAGTAAGTTACAACACCATATGGATGGTCAGTATGGTGAACAATCAGAGCACTATGGATGAAAATGTGATACTCAAAGTGGGAAGCGACAATAGTTTCAAATTTTGAAGAGAAGGTTGGATGGATCAGACCCCTTTGAGTGAATCATTTCAAGACTTCTCCATTTGCACCAATCCTGATGCCAAGGTAGGTGATTGTTGGTCTACACAAGGATGGAACTTATTCTTTAGAAGACTTTTGAATGATTGGGAAATAGAGAGAGTGGCATCATTGCTGAAAAATGGGAGGTACGAGCCTTGACACAAATGCAAAGACAGGGTTATCTAGAAACACAACAGGGAGGGCAAGTTCACAGTTAACAATGCGTTTAAGAGAGAGCGACATGGGGAATAGGAAAGTGCTCAATATCAATGGAAGAATATTTAGAGAAGTTTAACTCCTAGAGGAGTGCAAGTTACACTTGGTTAGTAATCAGAAAAACCTGTCTAACCAAGAAGTCCTTCAGAAGAAAGGAAGGACACTGGTACCAAGATGTTTTCTATGTAATCTAACAGGGAAACAAAGCACATATTCCTATATTGCAAGTTCACAATACAGCACTGGGAACTGCTTCTCAACATCACTGGTCAAAGTGGAACCATGCCAGAGCAGACAGCTGATCTATTCAGTTGTTTTTTTCTTTTTCTTTTTTTTTTTAGTAAAGGTAACAACTTGTATACTATTTCCAAAAAACCAGAAACGTACTAAAACAAGTTAAAGGTTTCCTAATTGCAATTGAGGTGGAGTATCCAGAAGATCTTATACCCTTTTAACAAAAATTTGCAAAGATCTTAAGACATCCATAATTGCTTCTAGATCTTCCATATACTCCTGTTTACACTAAAAATGAAACAAAACTAAACACTTCATCTTCATCTTTTGAATGTTGTTGCTCTTGTTCTGGTGGCACCTGAAGTTTCTTTCTGTCCAAGGAGCCCACCAGATGCAAGCTGGTATAAATTCCACCTATCCTTATGGTCTGAAGTGTTAGCATAACTGCTCCAGATCTTCCAAGCTCTGATCTATTTTCCTTGGCATCACCCAGCTCAGCCCCTTCATACTTGGGAAAATTTGCCATAGTTGAAAGGTAATCCTGCAGGGTATAAATAGGTGGGTTACTGTCTCAGCCTTTTCTTCCCAAAAGAAACACCTAGTGCAGGTGGATCCCCCTTTTCATTAGATTTTCTTGAGTTAACACAGCTTTTAGCCAAAAGCCAAGTCAAACAGGAAACTTTATGAGGAGTTTTGACTTTAGCTTCCAAGGCCAATCATCAGTCTGATTATCATAAGGGTTAACTTTTTGGAGGCCCCTTTCACACTGAATCTACCTTGATTGTGGCTCTGCCGCTCCAATCTATCTTGGTCAGTTGAAATTCCTTTGAATTGCTCCAATTTGCTGTAGAACTCAGCTAACCACAAAATCTCCCGGTCATTAAAAGGTCTTCTAAAGCTCAAATTTCATCCCTGATTTGACAAAACTTCAGCCACACTGGCCCTTTGCTGTTGGTTTAGGATGTAAATATCATTGAGGGTATCCCTTACGGGAGCTTGTTTTAACCAATTATCTTCTCAGATTTGAACCTTTTTCCTACCATTTATTTTTTCGGAGGCTACAATGCTCTCTAAGCTTTGGACACAGGTTCTGATAGACCTCCAAAGTGACAGTCAATGTCAATGTGCTTAGTCCTTTCATGAAATACGGGATTTGATGCAATATGACGGGCCGCTTGATTATCACACACAAGTTTCATCTGACCAACTTAGCCAAATTTTAGCTCTCTCAAAAACTGTTTGATCCAAACTAGCTCACAAGTTGTTGCAGCCATTGCTCAGTATTCGAATTCTGCACTAGATCAAGCAAACACGTTTTCTTTTTTACTCTTCCGCAACACCAAATTACCTCCTACTAAAACACAGTATCAAGATGTCGAACGTCTATCAGTGGTCTTGATTCTCAAAGAGTAGTCCTTTACCAAGAGCTGATTTTATGTCTTAGAATAGGAACAACTGCATCCCAATGACTATCACAAGGGGAAGTCATAAACTAACTTACAACACTAACATAAAAAGAGAGGGCGGGCAATAGATTGAAAAAGAGGCCAATGACGAGCAGCAGCTATAGATTGAAAAAGACGAACAAATGATATTTTCGCCACAAGAGCGAAAGCATTACTACAATTGAGCCCAAAGATATGAGTATACCCTTTGGCAACAAGACGAGCCTTGAACCAATCAGCCTAACCATTTGGACCAATTCTGACTACATAAACCCACCAACAACCAACAGGAGATTTTTCTGCAGGAAGAGAGACAAGTTCCCAAGTATCACTTGTACTAGCAAATATCTCATCAAGCATAGCCTGTCTCCATCCAAAATAAGAAAGTGTTTCACGTGTAGTCTTAAGAATGGAAATAGAGGACAAAGATCATACAAAGGCATAATTTTGTGATGCGAGATGATGACAACTCAATAAAGTATAATGTGAGTAAGCTTTTCTAGTGGTACGTATACCTTTTGAAGTCAAATCGATTGACTAGAAGGAGGCAAGTCCGTAGTAGGAGCAAGATCTAACGCATGATATGAATTATCTGGGACTAGTGGTGGCGCAGACAATGATGATAAGTCAGGAATGGTGGCATTAGTGGCGATGTAGAAATAACTATAGATTTCTCAAAAAATCAATACCGATTAAAACTCAGAGACATCAGAATGATCAGAAGATGTATAGTAGGGTTGAGATTCAACAAATGTGACACCTGCAAACATTATGTATAGACGAAGATCAGGTGATTAGCAACGATACTCTTTTTGAACTCGAGAGTAACCAAGAAAGACACATGAGAGCACGAGGAGCTAATTTATCTTTACCAACGGCTAAGTTATGAACAAAGCATGTGATCCCAAAGACACGAGGGGGATAAAGTAAAGAGGTAAGTGAGGAAATAGTATAGAATGTGGAACCTAATTCTTAATAGAAGATGAGAGCATTTTATAAATCAAATAACAAGATGCAAGGACTACATCGCCCAAAAAACGCAGCGGAACATAAAATTCAATGAGAAGATTTCGAGCAGTCTCAATGACATGCCTATTCTTCCTTTATATACACCATTCTGCTTAGGAGTGTGCGGACAAGATGTTTGGTGAATAATTCCATGGTGAGTCATAAATTCTTGAAACTGGGAGGATAAGTATTCTAAGGCATTATTACTACGAAAAGTATGAATAGAAACACCATAATGATTTTGTATTTTTGCATAGAAAATTTTGACTATAGAAAATAACTCCTACGGGTGAACCGACTTTTCTACGACCTCATATCAGAATGAACTAATGAAAAAAGAGACTTTGAACGACCCTCAATATTAAGGGAAAATGTAGCACGGTTGTGTTTCCCAAGTTGACACGACTCACAATCTTACGTGGATAAACTAGAAAAACTACGCACCATTTTTTGCAACTTAGATAGACTCGGATGTCCAAAATATTTGTGAATTAGGGTTGGATGATCTGTAACAGAGCATGTTGTGAAGGAATTTGAAGAGGTAAAGATCGTAAAGGCCTTGTGATTCATATCCTGTGCGAATCATATGTCCTGTACTGCGGTCCTACGTGAGAAAGAAATCCTCAAAAAAGGTTATGTCACGTGTCAAACGACTTACAGAGCTAGATTAAAAGGCGAACCAGGGTCATAAAGAACAGAGTCTAAAGTAACTATAAAGAGATGTTAGGCTTTTCCAACCCCTTTTGGTTTGGTTTGGATCCCATTGGCTAAAGTAATAGCTAGAAGAGATCCTTAATAAACAAATATCAGACATAAGTGATTTGTTACCAGAAATATGATCTGAAGCGCATGAGCCCATGACCCATGAGCCAAAAGTATTAGACCGTGAAACACAAAAAAAAATGTATTACCCACAACATGAACATTAGGCTGAGTAACCGAGGCTAATGGTGGAGACATTTGCTTGCTCGATACTGAAGGAACTCATCATATTCTGATTGAGCAATATAAGCATTATTAGGTGGTCAATCTGAGCAACAGTTGAGTCTTGTGGAGAAGTTTGCTTACTTGCGTGATTCCAAGAGACTCATTATATCCAATATTGCAGTAGAATCATAACTGGGTGGTGGACCATGCAAAATATGACACATGTCACGAGTGAGTCCAATCTTATGAAAATAGCTACACTTGGATTGAGATCTACCAAAACCACCTACTCTTTGATTCTCCATAGGTTGATATATTCACTTGTCTATTGTTGAGATGTGCGAATAGAGGAGTCAATGGTGGATGATGAAACTGCTCTTTGACGGGGAGGCGTAGCAAGACAAAATAGACGAGAGAATAATTGATCAATTGTGGGAATAATTGGACTAAATAAAATTTGATCACGCACTAAATCATGGTCAAGATGAAGTCCAGCAAGTGTAAGAACTAGAAACAACGTACGTATGTGCTCATGTTGTTTTTCTACATTCACAATGACTGGCATCAACATCTCAAATTTATCCATGATTGCATGTACTTGTCCCAAGTATGTAGACATATCGCATTCTTGTTTCTTTTAGTTGGTCATGCGAGATATCACATAATAGAACCGAGATGTGTCATTAGGGTATAAAGCACGAACCTTTTCCCAAACTGAATAGCATGTCTCGGATGGGCGAAACAAGGCAATCAACTTGGAATCAATAGATTACCATAGGAGACTTCATAGTTGAGCATCAACCTTCTCCGATTGTGCTTTGACTTTTGCATGTTCCTCACTAGCCTTTTGTCATCTATGACACAATCCTTGGTAGTTAAATGGTCTTGACACTAGCACCACAACTCAACCGAAGAAGTCCAACCTAAATAGTTTGAGCTTCCCATTAATGATTCTACAGTGATCATAGGGCTTGAATTTCCACTTTTGGGGCAAAAATATCAATCCCGAAAGACATTCTAAAATCAGGCCAAAAACAAAACATATCTTCACTGGAAATTGGACAGTAATATCAAAGAGGAAATAAAAAAATTGTGTAGGGCCGGAATTACGAGGCGATTCTACGGGGAAAAAATATGCTGAAAAATGGCCGCAAACAACCAGAAATTGCCTGAAAAGTGGATGGAATTGCAGGGATCTTAAAAATCAGATCTGATTGACAAAAAATATGATCGGATTCAGGAAATAATTGAACGGGAAGCCTCAAAAAGGAGAGCCGATCCAACTGGAAAAAAAGAAAATGCCAAAAAGTTGTCTAAACTGACCTCACACACCTCTGATCGGCGTGTGAGGGCACATGACAATATTTTCCAATGGGTCTGACTGGTGTTTCGTCTCCGAAGGGTGAGAGACCCAATGATGGTGTTGGTTTTCACACAACAATAACGGGAAGAGATGATGACAAAATTAAACTTCGACAGTAGCCGAATTTTTGTAAAGGTTTCTCACCATTGCTCTGATACCATGTGATAAATAAAGGAGAAATATTATTGAGATTGTGTATCTAGTATCTTTACTTTTTTTGGTGTAAACAACTATATTATCACAATGTAGATCGAATTGTAAATGATAGGAAATTTGTAATTTTTGTGATGAATTTTGAAGGTGGCCAGCATATCGTAATGCTGAAGAATACAAACTTACCAGTTCACAAAAAAAAAGAGCATTATAGTACAGATTTAAAATGTGACTGTATTTTCAATTTCTTCATAAGTTGCACACTTCACTTCAAAGAAACACACTTCATTTCTCGCTTTTCATTTCACTTCACATGGAACTTGTCGCTTTTAGGGAATTTTCCTTTTAAACAGTGATCATAAGAATGGTGAGAAATACAAGAGAAACCAAAAACAAATAAAATATCAGAGGAACCAAAAACAAAAATACACCCTCACTTGCTACTTAACCTAGCATGTAATGGTACAAGTGCAACCAGATAAAAATCAAACCACGAGTAGATGTATTTATGGATGCAGAATTTTCAAAAATGTATCAATTCAACGTGTCAGAGAAGGTCCAATTTAAGGTCACCAAGATCATTGACCTATAGGGGACTTAGGTTGTAATAGATAATATCATTAACACATCATATTTGTACAAGAAAGTAGATGCACCACATATAAACATACTCATTAGAATTCATATGTTATCAATATGTGTTCAGTCAATGTGGTAATTAGGGTAACCACAATCTGCTACATACAACTTTGAGCCATCGGTTATGTACTATTTAATGCTTAACAGTATAATCTAATTGGAGGCAATAACTACAAAGAAACTATAAGCATATCCATGACAAACAAAACATTCGCCAAAAAATAAATGGAACTTTGGGGAAAAAAGAACAAAGACGTTAATTAAGAAAACAAATCAACTCTACATTTTGTTATGACAGTGAGCTTACTTTCCATAGTAGTTGTAGCACATCTGCATCTATCTTTCCGGGAACTTTGGTGGCAAAAATTCTGGCGATCTCTAGAAGGGTTACTGCCATATCAGGAGTAGCCTAACAATCACAACGCAAAAAGAAAGTTGGATATGTGAGCTCAGGGACTGATAATTCACAAAGATACCAAAAAACATAGAATATTTACACGTCTATTATTCTATTAACTATAGCATGGAAAATGCATGAGCTTGAACTTTCATTGACCCATATCTTTATTTCTTGTATTGGTTGCATGGACATCGATGCCAAGACGTTTTTATAGATACCAAGATTATGATCAAAAGTATCTTGATAAGGTAAGCATAAGAAAACCTCACGCTAAAATAACTTAACATTCAGGCCTAATTAACTACATTAGAACTTGAATAACCTTAACCTCTCTCAATAAATGGCTAGAAAAAACAACACCTCTCTACCATAAACAATAGCATAGGAACACATTATAAGAGAAAATGATCTAACGCTTCCATAAAAGAACAATGAACAATCTCAATATACGAAACTCCGGTGTAGAACAAATATTCGCTTCAGCATCGTCCTAGTTCTTACATCAAGATGTCTTTACTCTTTATCTTTTCTCATGGTGGTGAAAAAGAATAACATTATGATGAAAAGAAAGGAGTGGTACAACCAGAAAAACTTGAGAATGTTGACATATCTAATCCCAGAAGAAGAAACTAGAACATAAAAGGCTCCATAGTGAAATACAGACTAACACAAGTTAAAGACATGATATATAGAGAATGATCACTTAATCCATTTACCAGACAACTAGACAACAACCCAAAGAATATGTTTTTCCCCGTCCATACATACCTTGAAACGAGCATGAAGTGTCAGCAATATATCATTTACTAATGGTGCTGGCCAAGCTGGATCTGTAAGTTCTGATGCGATGATGGATTCTAATTCATCAAAGGACTCGTGAGGGCTTTGCATCCATATTAGTGCTTTTATTACCATTGCGCGAACATAAACACATTCACATGCAACAGTTGTCCGCACCACCTCCATTAAGGAGGCCAATAAACTTGCAATCGTGTCCTTGGCAGCATTGGTATTAGATAATGAGGAAACTCGACGTATACCTAAACAAAAAAGACAAGAAAATCAAAAATATGGAAGAATCAGTGAGGTGACAATTCTGGATCTACTCGACGTATACCTAAACAAAAAAGACAAGAAAATCAAAAATATGGAAGAATCAGTGAGGTGACAATTCTGGATCCAACAAAGAGAACACGAAAGTCATAGAAGAAATGAGTCTAGACACCAACCGTAATACAAGAGAATACTGACAGTTCCAACTAAATAAGGCCAACAAGTGAAAGCTAGTCTTTACAGGACTAATAAAATTAATAGCAGCAAGTCATCCACAAAGATAATCACCTCCAGAAAAGCAAAATCTATAAGTAAAATAATACAGCGAAAAACATAAATATTTTTTTTTGACATATAATCAATGAAAGCATAAAAGATAATTGAACTTGTCAATAGAAGATAGTAAAGATCAAGGAAAAGTGCAATAACCAATATTAAAGGACCAATACACACCTAAAGGAGTTGAAAATGCAACCAAAACCAAGCATCTTCATAAACAAATGCATATTTGGCTAATATTGTGTAGATTCTGTCAAAGATACCTGAATAAATAACAGTGTGATCGCTATGATAGCTTAAGCTTTTTGATGGGACGATCACACTTAAACATGGTGTCAGAGCTGGCAAAGGTTCTAGATTCGCCGCCACCTGTTATCAAAAAGAATTTCCACGTGTCTTGCCAGTGAAAGGATCTGGCCAGCACGTGAGAGAGTGTGGCGAAGATCAAAGTGTGCTCTCTAAGCTCAAGCTTTTACAGATTCTAAGATATTGTAAGTCTTCCAAAACATCTTTTCGTCCATTTGAATTTACGTCCACTTTATCCCATTTAGTACGCATTCAATCATCATGGTGCCACAACAACATACATGTGTATTTGGAGGTCTACCACATGACTGAACCATATCATGTTGTCAACTCTAATTTTTGTTGTGTTATTTTCACCTATCGGATATGATCAATTGTAATGTCGTCAAATCTTGTATGACCTGAAGAAGCTGCAATCTGGTGGACAGTTTGGAGAGGAAGGAATGCAATGTGTTTTGAGGGAAATTTAACTCTCTATTGAAGATCTTTTCTTTGTTAGTACAAACCCACTAAAGTACATTAGGGATCTTTTTTTTTTAAGGATTAATCATTAGGGATCATATTCTGGAGTGACAATTGGCGTACCCTTCTTTTTATCATTTTCCCAAAAAATTCATAAAGTTGGCAGGTATTCAAAAGATATTATTTGTTTTCCATCACTATTGCATGTGTCAAACAAATATTGTGACATTTCAGTTATTACAGCTTGTCCAAATCTATTATTCTTTATGTAAAGAAATGGTTGATTTCATAGATTATAATCAAAAAGACTCACAAGAGGTTTTTCCAAACCAGAAGCGGTCTTCGTTTTTATTTTTTCTATCATGAAGTTGCAATAAGAATTGCATCCATAGATTTTGTCCAGATCTCACCCTTCTTTTGATAAAAGGGAAGGAGAAGGATAAGGATCTTCTTCAGTGGATCCCTCTTGTTCCTTTAGTCCCCTTCATTTCAAGGCTTGATCGCATTTTGTTTTGACATTTCTGGCATAAAGAATATATTTAGTGGAGTCTAAATCAATACTAGAGATTTTAGAATGATTTTTGTTAGAATCCTAATAGGAATACAATAGTATATACAATCCTAACTATGGTTGTTGTTCGTCACTGGCCTTTTCATCAATTGGACATTAAGGGCCCGTTTAGATGGGCTTAATAAAAGCAGCTTTAAAATAGTACTTTTGAAAGTGATGAAACTTATTTTTAAAATAAGCAGTTATGCGTTTGGATGAAAGTGCTGAAGTTAAAAAAAAAGTTGTTGATGTGTTTGGCAAATAAGTGCTGATAAACAGCTTTTTAAATCAAAATGTCTGAAATACCCTTAAAAGTTGTTAACATAAAAAAAGTTAATTAATTTATATTTTACAGCCATAAATAATTATATTTTGTTATCATTCACATATTTCTTTATTATCACACATTATTTATAAGAGGAATATAAATTTTTATTTAAGTTATATGTGCAACTTATTTTACATTTTATTAATATATAATTTGAATAGATCACCTGAAAGATTTAAGATTTATTTTATTTTCATTCATTAGTAATAGTAATTGTCTATCATCCACACGTGAAAAGGGAAAAATAGAAGAAAGAGATGTTAGGGTTATGTGGGTAATTTGGAGATTGTATAAAAATATTAAGGGCAAAAAAGTAAAAATGTGGTCAACTTAAAACAGCCTATAAGCTGGAAAAAAAAAACACCCCTGCCCCAGCTTTTAACTTTTGGCTTAAAATAAGTTTTTTTTAACTTAAAATAAGTTATTTTGAGTATTGCCAAATAGCTAAATAAGTCAAAAACCAGCTTTTAAGTCCGTTTGACCAGCTTTTAAGCTGAGCCAAACAGGCTCTAAGAATGCTTTTTTTCATGGTGATCTTGAGTTGGAAGTCTCTACGGAGCAACTACCTGGTTTTGTTGCTTAAGAGGAGTCTAGTAGCCTTGTATATCGATTGCGTAGGTCACTGTGGTCTGAAGCTGTCTCGTAGAGCTTGGTTTGGGAAGTTCAGCACAATTATTCAACAATTTAGCATGACTCGTAGTGGAGCTGAGCACTCCGTATTTTATCGACATTCTGCACCAAATTGATGTATCTATTTGGTTGTGTACGTTGATGACATTGTTACCACCGGTAATGATCAAGATGGTATCACCAAACTGAAGCAACATCTCTTTAAGCACTTCCAGACTAAAAGACCATGGTAGATTGAAGTATTTCCTAGGTATTGAGGTTGCTCAGTCTAGATCATGTATTGTTATTTCTCAACGCAAGTATGCCTTAGACATTCTTGAGGAAACGAGAGTGAATCCGAATTTTGAACTCCTTACACGATAGGGGGAGCCACTTAGTAATCCTGAAGAGGTATAGACGGCTTGTTGGAAAATTAAATTATCTCACAGTAACTAGACCCGACATGTCTTTTCCACTGAGTGTTGTGAGCCAGTTTAAGACTTCCCCTTGTAATATTCATTAGGAAGCAGTTGTTCGTATCCTGCGATATATAAAGTCAACTCTTGGTAAAGGACTACTCTATGAGGATGACCCTCTGATAGACGTTTGACATTCAGATATTGTGTTCTAGTAGGAGGTAATTTGGTGTCGTGGAAGAGTAAGAAACAAAGTGTGGTTACTCAATGTAGTGCAAAATAAGAATATCGAGCAATGGTCGCAGCAACTTGTGAGCTAGTTTGGATCAAACAGTTGTTGGGAGAACTAAAATTTGGCACAATTGATCACATGAAACTTATGTGTGACACGAAATTTCTGAAGTCAAATGATCAGCTAGCAAATATCTTCACCAAGTCCTCGCACTAATTACATTTGTCACAAGCTAAGTACATATGATTTGTATGCACCAGCTGGAGGGGAAGTGTTTAGAATAGAAATATGTATATATATTCCTACTTAGAATAGGAAGAAGAATAGGAATAGAAATCCTAGTTAAAAAGGGATTTCAATGTATTGTCTATAAATAGGGCCTCAATGTAACAATTTAGATACATAATTCAATACTATTCTTCCCATATATTTTTCACAAGTTTATTAGATTGATTTTGCAAATTTGTTTAATAGAGAGTTCAAATTTTTTTCTTGAATCAAGAATGGTGAATTTGGTGAAGATGAGAATGGTAGTAATGGTTTAGAGATGGTCAGTTTTGTTGTTGTTGTTTGTTGTTGTGTTGTTGTTGTTGTTGTTGTTGTTGTTATTATTATGATGATGATTAGTAGTAGTAGTAGTATGATAATGATTATGATTATGATTATTATTATTATTATTATTATTATTATTAATAATATTATTATTATTATTAAAAAATACATATTTTTAAAAAAAAAGATATCCAAAATAAAATTTTAATATTTACTTTGGGAGTTCACTCTCTCAAAGAGGGTGACATACATTCACTTTGTCAGCTATGCATTTAAAGTGGTAATGATTTCACTTTGAAGAATGATAAGACCCTTATGAAATTGAAGTGTGTAGTTGTAAATCGGAATATAGATTGAGGGTCCTAGTAGAGTCAATTCCATCTTATGATAATAACATTAGTTCATTATGATATTTGGGGTCCTAGTAGAGTCAAGTCCATCTTAGGATTTCGTTATTTTGTTAGTTTCTTTGATAATTATTCAAGATGTACTTGGGTTTTATTAATGAAAGATCGTTCTAAGTTATTTTCTATATTCAAAAGTTCCTTTGCTAAAATACAAAATCAATTTGGTGTTTCTATTCGTACTTTTCTTAGCGATAATGCCTTAGAATACTTATCCTCCCAATTTCAGGAGTTTATTACTCCCAATGCATTATTCACCAAACTACTTGTCCATACACCTCACAACAGAATGGTGTAGCAGAAAGGAAAAATAGGCATCTTATTGAGATTGCTCGTACTCTTCTCCTTGAATCCTATGTGCCGCTGCGTTTTTGGGGAGATGCAGTTCTTACGTCTTTTATTTAATAATAATAAATAGAATGCCTTCATCTTCTATTAAGAATCAGGTTCCACATTCCATATTGTTTCCTGAGTAACATCTCTATCCTATCCCACCTCGTGTATTGGGGAGCACATGCTTTGTTCATAACTTAGCCCTTGGGAAAGATAAATTAGCCCCCGTGCCCTCAAATGTGTCTTTCTTGGTTACTCTCAAGTTCAAAAAGGGGCTACACACTTCAATTTCCTTATACATCATCTATCTCACTCATTTTCGTGTAATCTCTTTCTAGGATTTGCCTCAAATTCTCCACATAATATCTGATAATTTAGGGTTAATAATTCTATTTTTAGATAATTTTATTATATTTAGGGTTTTATTGTATCCATACATGGACCCATATCTCCAAATCTTATAAATTAGATCATGAAGAATCTGACCTCTAGATCCACACATGTATAGGACACCGACACCCGAGTCCAAGCAACTTAGGTGGACGTGCCCTCTATGGTGAATAAGATGAGGGAAGCGTAACTGAGAAGGTTTGAACATGTGAAGAGGAGATGTATGGGAGCACTAGTGAGGAGGTGCGAGATGTTGGTTATAGAGGGTACCGAAAAGAGGCAAAGGTAAGATGAAGAATTATTCGATAGAAGTGATAAAATAGGATATGACGCAGCTTCAGGTTACCGAAGAAGTTGTGGAGGCCACGTATTAGGATAGTAGGTTAGTAGGTAGCGTAGGGTTGTCTTTCTTAGGGTGGTTGGTGTTTTCCATTGTATTAGTTGTTTTGTCGTATTTCTTGTTTTTGATATATTGCACGGTGTATTCATGCTTTCAATAATCTGTTCTAATATGTCGTTTATTGATTATCACACTATTTCGTTGTTATCTTTGCTAATACACTTTGGACCATTACCTTGTTACTTACTATATTTTCTTTTACTGACTTCTTTACTTATTTTAGAACAAGAGAACCCGCAGCCGCTAACCTTTGGTTGCGCACAGGGTAAAATCCTCCCTCTCATGCAATAGATCGGAAACCACATAGGAGAGGTAACTCGCACTAGGCAAGCCCGAAACGACGAGCTCGCCCCAGAAGGCAAACCCCTTGCTTTCCTTCTTTTTTACTTTAGTCGAGGGTCTTTCAGAAACAACCATTCTACCTCCACGAGGTAGTGGTAAGGTATGCGTGCATTCTACCCTCCATTTTACTAGGTACGTTGGTGTTGTAGTAGCTAGCCACATGAAGATGTACAACTTTCTCGACACCTTAGGAATTCAAACCGAAGCGTGTGACGGTGTGAAAAACTAACATGTGCCCTAACTAGAAGCTTCTTAAAGGACTTAACTAAGAATGGATTGTTGTTCCCAAACCCAACAAGCATTAGATCTATCTCAAATCCCATTACTTTGATAACTATGCTACTCGCCTTGCTTTGGAGTAAATCTAGCAACCATTGAAGCTCGGTCACCTCCCAATCTTAAAAATCACTCCTAAATCTCAAACCCAATTACTTTTATAATTATGCTACTATTGCATAATACTCATCTAATACTCCTCCATTTTTCTCATTTTGTTTTTGTTAATTATAAATATTCACATATCATGTCCTTCTATTGAAACATTGAACCTAGATATCATATTGTTGGTACTTGCCCAGTCATCGCAAATCTGTGTAATCACCTCAAATTCCTTTTTTGATTGTAGTTAAACTAGTCGTCTATCTAATGTCTTACTTTTACTTATCAAACTTTTACTCTCTAGAATGATTCTGCATAATTCTACTTATCCTAAACGCTTACCACCATCTAGAGTGCTCTGCATAGTTCAAGCTCTTAGTCGACTCCTTTCATTATCATCAATTGACAAAATATCGTTTGCAAATAACATGCACCATGAAATTCTATCTTGTATAATTTTGTTAAGTCATATATAATTAGAGTTTATGTTGCTTGGACTCTTCAAAAATGCCAAGGAGTGCATGTCGGATTCACCAAAGTAGTGTATTCTTGGAGATGGAGACATTTATGATGATTCCTACTTATATATTTTAGGTGTTCTTCGAAACCAGAAAGTCTCTAGATCTCACACCTATTTTCTCTTCATATGTCCTGAAATGTAAATTTATATATCAACCCTCAAGTCATATGATTATGTCTACTATAATTTAAGACCTTGACAAAGATCATTTGCACTGCATACAAGTAATTTTTGAACTCTTTCATTGGGTATGTCTTTTACAAACATTTAGTATCACAAATTGAACCTTCCATAAACATTAAAGAGAGAGAGATTATGAGTTATGTCTAAAAAGCTAACTCGTTTTCAGTACCTTCAGGGTGAGAGGTTTCATTATGATCCTGATCATATGAGTCATTATTTTCTGGAACTGTTTTAACATAAGCTCCTTCATCAATATCTTGTAAGCCCAAAGCGAAAGCTGCTGCACGACTTTTTCCCATTTCTTGCACCACCCGTGCGGCTGAATGAAGTACAGGTCGAGAGAAACTGCGGAAAGAACTCTCTAACCTGCCAAAGTCATGGGGGTGTTAGCTGAACAATTCATCACAAAATAGTTGGAGCATAAAAGGTTTAGGTTTAGTTTGGAGGGTCAGGAGAGCAAAAAAGACAAGCTTGAAGACCTCCTCATCACAAGTTTGATCAAAGGTTGAGGACGCCTTGTCTTTGAAGACTTGTCTTTGGAGGACTTTGAAGGAGCTCCATCCTTTGATTCGGAATTTGAGTCTTTAGCTGAAGGTGCTTCTGGAAGCTTGAGAATTTCTCTGGTCAGTCTGTACCATCCAGCAGCTCGTTCCTCAGTCCTGCAGAGTCCAAAACTCCACAGAAAATTATGTGCTTAATTTTACAAATTGGGCAGTTATCTGAGACGTTATAGTAAGAGAAGTTTCAAAGATGAAGCTACCTCTCAGCATTATCAACTTTACCCAGCACACAAAGGATAGCCTCAAAACAAACTCTTTCACTAGGATCAAGAAGTAGCTGATACAGCACTGAATTGAACTGAGTCTTAATGTCTGGCCTTTCTGCACCAAATAATATGGAGTTCGCCAGCAATCAGTCTTATTATCTACTCCCAGTCTTCAAACAGAAAAGGGGCATGCTTGCTCAGAATACATTTCAAACAGACATACCTTCTAGTGACCGAGCTCGGGATATACTGTGGCACAATCTGGCAAGTGCAACTCTAGCAAGAACATCATGCATATGGAGTACATCTTGTAGAGCCCCTGATTCAAACAAATTCTGATAGTATTAATGGATGATATATGACAATGAAATTGGAGATAAGAAATTGACTTACCACCGGGCTGCACAAGCTTCCCTACAAAAAGACAAAAAAGCTAGTCAAAAAACAAACTCAAACCATCAATCAGATACATATGCCAAGAAATTCCCCTTTTACCAATAAGGACATCCACCAAGAAACTCGATTTATTTCATGAAAATTATCATAAGGATGCCCTTTTACATGGATCTTAGCATAAGACATCACAACAACAAAACATTAAAGCAATGCTACTTGTCAAGTGAGAACACACAAGAAAACAAATACAGAGATATTAATCAAAAAGGAATATCAATACAGATGGGAAAAGCAGTCCTCCTTAAAGAGTTCACATACTAATCAACATTTAACTCATGAAAGTTTGAAGATGTCCTAGAAACCCAGAATGTTGCAACTTGTAGGCCCTTTTCTCATCCTATTTCACTTCTTACTATTTCAACGGTGGTCTGTTTGCATGACACATCATTCATTCTATTCCAGTGTTGTAAAAAGAGCAGAAAAGCGTGCTTAAAAAGCGATTCAAAGTGAGGCTTGACCAGTGCGCTTCTTTCTCCTGAGGTGATGCAATCTGAAAAAGGCCCTCGCTTCAAATAAAGAAGCGAGAAGCGACACTAAGGTAAAAGCGCAATAAAGCGCGCTTTTTATAAAAAACCGACAATTAGGGTATTTTTTAAAATTAGGTTTTGTTTTTTCAAAAAAATAATCTGAAATAGATATGACTTAATTTTCTTTCACGACTCTTCTTTCGCTGCTTCTATCTTCACGACCGTGACTGCAACTGCGTCTCTCTTCAAGACAGCGACTGCGACTTACTGTGCTTCATCTCTGTGAAACTCTTCACAATGCGACTACTGTAGTTTTTTCTTCTTCTTCTCTTCATCTCGGCTGAGATCTGCTACTGTTTCTGTTCACAATTATTGACTGCGTGCTCTGTTTTTTTCAATTCTTTTGCTGTTTTTTTCGTTTTTATTTTGTGATCAATGTGTATGCTTGTTGCTCTGTTTTTTTTATTTTTTGACACTTCTTTTTTGCTTGTAGTATTTAGTGAACTTGTATTTTCTCATTCAAGATGTCACAAAAAGGGATCCGGCTTGGGCATATGGAACTCCTATGGGTAGTAGCACAAAAGTCAAACGTAGCTTTTATGATGTGACATACAATGGCGGAATCTTTCGTAACAAAAGGCATCTCATCAATGGCTATAGAGATGTAAAAGTATGCCCGAGAGTCCCGGATAAAGTGAGGGAAGAGATCAAAGAATATATCTTGAAGAAAAATGAGTTTAATACTCAAAATGAACCATGAAGCATCCATGGTTAATCTTGTTGATAATGATGGAATGGATGATGATAAATTTGAAGTGAACATGCCAATGCCAATAAGGCCTCCCTCAAAGCATCAAAGGATGCCTTCGAGTAATGGGAGTGGGTCTTCCATCAATAGCAGTATCAAGGGTCCTATGAATCTCTATTTCTCGCAACAATAAAACTAAAAGAGAAAAAGTGGACCTATTGACTTAGAATCTTCTAGAAAGATTTTGAGGGATCGTGCTATATCTGTTTTTGCTAGGTGGATGTATGATGCAGGAATTACTTTTAATTGTGTTAATTACAAAGATAGTTTTGGTGAATTCGTTGAGGTACTCAGCCAATATGACCCTGGAATGAATCCTCCCACCTATCATGAGGTAAGAGTTCCCTTTTCTAAAAAAGGAGGTGGAAAAGACAAACAAGATAGTAGAAGAACATAAGGTTCAATGGAAAACGTATGGTTGTTCCACTATGACGGATAAATTGACAACAAGGAATGGGGAAAAATGGCCATTAATGTTTTGGTGAACTCTCCAAGAGGGAGTGTATTCCTTGAATCTTATGATGCTAGTGACTCTAATAAGATGTTTAATTTGTTGGAGAAGATTATCATGAAGGTAGGATAGGAAAATGTGGTACAAGTTGTAACAGATAATGCAAGTGAGAACAAAAAAACGGGTAACACGTTGAAGGGAGTGTTCCCACATATTTTCTCCACTCCTTGTGCTGCTCACTGTATCAACTTGATGTTTGGTGACATTTTCAAACAAGCCCTGTATTCTACAGGTGAACTTGAGTCAGTGTTGTGAAAAGCGCAGAAAAGTGCGCTTAAAGCGCGCTTCAAAGCGAGGCGACCCTTGTGCGTTTTTTTATCTTGAGGCGAGGCAATCTGAAAAAAGCTCTTGCTTTAGATGAAGAAGCGAGAAGCGACCCTAAGGCAAAAACACAATAAAGCGCGCTTTTTATAAATTAAAAAAAAAGTGACAATTAGGATTTTTAAAAAAAAATAGGTTTTTTTTTAAAAAAATCTGAAATATAACCTTCTCTCTCCTCACGACTCTTCTTTCACGACTCTTTTCCTTCTTTCTCTCCTCGCGACTCTTCTTTCACAATACTTCTTTCCCTTCTTTCTCTCCTGACGATCTCGATTGAGGCTGCCTCTCTCTTCAACCTCGACCGCGACTGTAGGTAACTTTTTGTTCATCTCTTTTTTAGCTAATGTTTATTAGTTCATCTCTATGAGTTTCTTTTCTCATGAAATATACAATCTTCGTCTGTGCTTCATCTCTTCATCTCTCTGAGTTTCGACTACTCTAGTTTTTTCTTCTTCTTCTCTTCTTTTCTTCCTGCCTGCTCTGTTTCTAATTACTGACTGCTGCCTTTTCAATTCTTTTGCTTTTTTTATTTTATTTTGTGATCAGTCTAGCAGCCTTGTTGAAGAATAGGGGTTTGAAAGTTGTGATTTGATTATGTTTTTGATTTTTTGCTTTATATGTTATGACTTATGAGTATTTTTGCCTATGTAATTTCTTTCAATATAAGACTATATTAGCTCTATTTAGTTATTTAATTTTTTTATTTTTATAGTAAATGTCGCTTTTTTTAAAAAAGCGAGCGCTTCGCTTCACGCTTCTCACTTCTGTGAAGCATGCCCTCGTCGCTTTTTTCCGCTTCTCGCTTCCCGAAACACTGACTTGAGTCTTGATATTTAAATTGCATTTTTTAAACTTCATATTTTAACTGCCATTTTCTTTACAGTTTCTGGTAGAGCTGTTAAGGTACATGCTTATATCAATCAAAGGGCATTGTTGTTGAATATGATGAGGAGATACACAAAGCAAAGATCTTTGGTAAAACCCGCCAAGACAAGATTCGCAACAACTTTTTTGACTTTGTATAGTTTTTATAAGAAAAAGAAAAAAATTGAGAAATTTGTTTATGTCAACTGAATGGAATGAGAGTATCTATTCAAAGGAATCTCTTGGTAAAGAAGTTGCGACACATATCATTAGTCCATTTTTTTGGAATGACGTTGTTCAAGAACTCACAGTTGGTGGTCCTTTAATTCATGTACATCGTATGGTGGATGGGGAGAAAAAATCACCAATGGGTTACATTTATGAAACCATGGACAGGGCCAAAGAAAGTATTGATACAAGGAAATATGAAAGTGTTTTTGAATCATTGATGCAAGGTGGACAGATCAACTTCATCAACCTTTGCATGAAGCGTGACACATTTTGAACTGCTCTATTATAAAAATAATGACATGAAGATTTTAACTGAAGAAGTGCGGCAGGGATATCATAAATGTGTTGAGAGGATGATCCCAGACAAAACTTTGCAAGAAAAAATAGGGGAGGAGCTTGGTGTGTACATGAAAGCGGATGGCCTACTTGGAATTGAATCAGCCATTATAGCTAGAACCTTGAGGTCACCAGGTAAGAATTTCATCTTTTAATTGTTTACAGCTTCAACTTTTAAGTTATTACATATCTTTTAAAATAACTCTTCTACAGTTGGATGGTGGATGCAATTTGGTCATAATGTCCCAAACTTGCAACAGTTTTGCTATAAGAGTGCAAAGTTTGCTTGTAGCACATCCGATTGTGAGAGAAAATGGAGCGTGTATGAACATGTGAGAAACTACATTAAATCAATGCATTATTACTAATTAAATTGATATCTTAATCATCCCAAGTCCTCCTATTAATTACATTCTACTATGTGCAGATTCATAGTAAAAAAAGATAGGCTTGAGTTGACACGCCTCAATGATCTAGTGTCCATCAAATATAATAGAACATTGGAGTGTCGTTACAATGCACGTAATACCATTGATCCAATTTTGTTGGATAGTATTGATAAGGCAAATAAATGGTTAACTGGAGCACCACCAGATCACCAAAAGAGAAAGTCTCACTTATGGTGATATTTCTGTGGCAAGTGGTGTTGAGGAGAATATTTATAGTTTTAGGGGGAGTACTTTAAGGGGCAAGGAAAAGAGGAGTTGGAGGTTCTAGTTCAAGTCGAAACCTTGTTGATGAGCCTTCTGATGATGAAAAGATGACCAAGTAGAACCATTGGTTGTGGCACTTCAAGAATTTGAGGATCTTGTTGAAGAATAGGAGTTTGAGTCTTTGTGATTTAAATATGTTTTTGATTTTTTGTTTTATATGTTATGACTTATGAGTATTATTGACTATCTATTTTCATTTAATCTAAGACTATATTACCTATATTCAGTTATTTAATATTTTTTTATTTTTATACTAAATGTCGCTTTTTTTAAAAAAAAAAAAGTGTGCGCTTCACTTCACGCTTCTCGCTTTTGTGAAGCGAGCCCTCGTCGCTTTTTTCCGCTTCTCGCTTCGCAAAACATTGTTCTATTCAATGAGTTCTTTCTCTTCCTTTCAACTGATGAAGCAAGGATTTTCAAGTTTCTCCCCCCATTCATGAAGGAACACTTCAGAAATTTATTAAGAAATATATTTCTTTTTCATGTTTAGGAAATGTGAGGACCTTTACAGAATTCGAACTTATTAATGGAGGAAACCAAAAATATGAAACCCTCATACCTTCCTAACATCCTATTTACTTAACACAACTGGGAGATTTATTTAATACCGCTTCCCGTGATCAGATTGTCTTTTACATCCTTGTTCAAGGTATAGCAATATATCTTTAAAGCACAATGAACTCAAAGTGCTCCCTCCAACATGTCTAACAACTTATCTTGTTCTCTTGATGTAAAAGGGATTTCAATAAAAAGCATCAAAAAGATGCATAACTTACAAAACGGGAATGATTAATTGCTCTAATACAAGTGAGTCTACGCTAATATCTACTTCTTTCTTTGACAAAAGTACTGTTGGTGAGTATATACTACTATCAGGGAGCTAATAAAATCCACAAAAAGATATGTTTGATTACCAAGGGTGAGATAATTCCAGTAAAATGATGAAAGCCTGTTTGGATGGGCTTATAACATAGGAGTTGTGTGGTGTGAGGTAGAAGGTATAATAGTCCCATGATAAAATGTAGGATTATCTAGACCCACGTTTGGTTGGAGGTATTAGGTAGTCACTGGATTATTTTATCCCACCATTTTTGCTAGAGTGATGGGATAAGCTATACCATATACATAGTGAAATAACTTTTTAAAAAATAAAAAACATCCCGGTATAACTTGTTGCCACCCAAACGACCCCTTATAATTTATAGTCCACAATCCATACGTTAGGAATTCTAACTTATGGTTTTTGGCTTATTTTTGTTATTTTGGCGTAAAGCACTTTTTATTTTAGCCAAACACCACAAAAGTACTTGCATTTTATTTTGGCTAGAAAGAACCTAAAATAAGTCAATCCAAACAGGATCTAACTAAACAAGCAGCCTTGAGGAAGTAAGTTGGATTTGAGATGCCATCAAACTATCTTTGGTTTCTATCTGTTCAGACACAGAGAAATTACTGGTGCAGCCATTTTCCAGATTTTCTAGAAGGTTTTATGAATATTCAGGGAATAATAGCTTTCATAGGCTTGTATTATTTTCTGTGGCATAACCCATTCCAGACCAAAAATAGATCTTCTACAGTTTTACGATGGGTCAATGAAGGAAGAGATAGCTGACACTTCTGAGCTTTGCTGACACATGTGGCACCTTTTAATTAGTAAAATATTCCTCTTGATTATGAAGACAAGGTCTTGTGGAAACTCAGCAACGATGGGGCTTTATCAGTCAAAAGTGCATATAAGAGTGGTCTACATGAGATAATTGGGGGAACACTATCCTTGGAGATACTTCTGGAAGAGTGTCATGTCCACCAAAGTGAAACGTTTTACAACGTTAAAGATTAAGAGAGCTTCCCTTACTCAAGAAGTCTTACATTGCATGTTCACTAGAACATTTTCCTGAACATTACAAGCACTAGCTAGATAATGCCAGAGCACACATCAGATCTTTTGAGTTGCTAGATTAGGAGGGGAGGAATCGAAAGTCAAAAGGGATGGTGGAGATTTATACCATCATATCATAAATATGGTGGTCAATATGGAAGGAAAGAAATAAGAGATGCTTTAGACATAGGTCCAATTCCATAAACAAAGTAAAATGGAATTGTATTGTATCTTTACATTTTTTGGTGTAAACAACTTTGTATAGAAGATGTAGATTAGATTGTAGATTTAATAGGAAGCTTGCAATTGATATCTTTTGGAGGTGGCGAGCATACCTTGCTAATGAATACAACTTAACAAATTTTATAAAAAAATATTCCTCTTGATTAAGTCATCTTGGGTGAGAAAGGCCCCTTTGAGAGCCAGTCAGGTGAAGCACTTCACCTTTGTAGGCACTTTAGTTTGCTTGTTTATTTATTTCAATCTCTCCCTCTTCTAAAGATTCTTGAAACAAAGAATAAAACCTCAATGATTTGACTCACTTAGCCTCATGAAGAATTAAATATCACAAACAAATTAATTACATAAAGTGAGGATAAGAGCAGAAACAAGACATGAAAATGACATCCATTTTAGTCTTTTGGGAACATGTGAATAAAGAATATGTCCTCAAGGCATCTATGGTACTTTAGTTTAGACCTTTCTTTCATTTGACAGATTTTACCCATTGCCAGACATCTCTATACTCCACATTTTTAATTCAGACCTTTTAGTGAACTTTTGTGGTATTATGCTCTTTTATACCACTCTTTTTCAGTAACTTTTTCTTTAGGGAGGATAGCAAATGCTTCTGCATACATGTTCCCGGAGCTCTAATGTAGGTAAAATATCTTGTTCATGTTCATTAACATTTTTAAATTAGGTTTAGGCCTAGCTCACACCCCAAAAGCTAGCTCAAAGGGAGGAGGATTTTCCAATCCTAACAAGGAGTCAACCGATCTCATTAACCACGGATATGGGACTTTTATAATTCTTTATTACCCCACCTCACGCCCATTGCTTAGCATCTGATGCATGGGCAATTTTGATTTTGGGGATTCCAAGATCGGGTGAGACGAACCCTGCTTTTATACCATGTGAAACTAGGTCTCAAATATAAGAAACACCCCAAAAGCTAGCTCAAAGAGAGAAGGATTGCCCAAGCCTTATAAGGAGTCCACTTATCTCATTAACCACCAATTTGAAACTTTTGTCATTCTTTACGAAACATAAAATGAGAATCAACATAGCAGTGCACAGTATTGTAAGTTACAATAATAGAATTTGGAGTTCATAAATTGAAGTTCTTCATACTATTAAAGCAAAAGAAAGGATTGCAAAAGTTAAAACACCTTGTTCAGGAAATTACCTAATGCCATTGCAACTGCATATGGATCACTTGTGGCTAAATCGGAGAGAATTTCTAAAGAATGCCTCACAGCAACTGGATCAGCAAATGAGACTCTGTATCAACATACAAAATGTCTTAAGTTTTGTTGTTCGACGATTTAAAAAAATTACAGAATCATAAATACATTTATACTAAAAATGGAAGACCAAGCTACTGTAGACAAGTAAAATTTGAGAAGCTGTTGCAGAGCAGAATCATATGATTTTCCTTGAACTTCTTCGAAGTAAATAATAGGGATCAGGTAATGGCTTTGCAACTTGTGCAAAATTTCTGAAAGGTAAACGCATATTTAACAACCCAGGCTTGGTATGCATAAGAGAAGGCTCCTGGTAAACTTGAAATCCAGAAGCTTGATTATCACATCTTGGACCCCAAACCACTTGTCAGCAGGCACCTCCAAGATGTATTAAGCCACTTGGGCCTCAAGCAGATGAGATCTCCCCAAGTTGGTAAGAACTGAACAAACAAATCCTTTCGTTATACCTTTTGTCAGAAATGTCAAAGGTTGAAATGAATGTAATAACCAATCTTCCATAAAAAGCGACACCCTTGTTAAGAGTATATACACACCAAGTGATGTTGGAACTATAGGTGGCTTATTGGGGCAACATAAAGGAAGCGAGACTCGGAAGACTTAGGAATATAAAGAGAAAATGTGTTGATGCCACAGTCAGGAGATGTGAGAGGTTGGTTGTTGGGAGTACACAGAGAGGTAGAGGTATACCTAAAAAGTACTGAAGAGAGGTGATTAAACAGGACATGGCGCAGCTTCATATTGCTGAGGATATGAATCTAGATAGGAAAGACTGCAGTTCGCATTTAGGGGTAGAAGGTTAGTAGGGATAAAGTGTTGCCTTGCCTTGAGAAGGCCTAGGCTTGTCAGTTCCTATCATAGTACTAGTTGTGTCATATGTTGTTTATTGTGTTTCGGTTACACACTATTTGTTGTTATATTGTTTCTTTCTTGTAGACCTTACAATGCTTAGGTTTGATGTACTTGAGCCGAGGAGGGTCTTTCAGAAACAACATCTCTAGTTCCATGAGGTACCGGTAGGGTCATCCTACCCTTCCCAGTCCCCACTTGGTGGAATTTCACTCGGTATGTTGTTGTCCCACTGCCTACCTTTGAATGCAGCATTTGGCCTCTTGCAACACTTACTCTTTTGATTGATAAAGGTTTGTTATTAATATGCAGCAAAGTGATGCAATGTATTTATAGGGACCCTTTGACACAGTTAATTCAAACACACCTATCACATTTTCATATCATTTTTAACGCCTTGGTTCTACAAGACCCAATACAATACTCTCAATAAGTTTTAGAATTCAGGACTTAAAAATGTTATCCTTGGGCCTAAAACCACTTGCCCAAGCTTATAAAGTCACTCGTGTTCCTTTTCACTGATAGGGGACTTAAGGGATGTAACAAGCACTTGCACTCATTCCCCGATACCGCAACAAAAGATAGATTCTGACAAGAAGCTTTTTCTCATAGGTAAGATTCAAGCAAATAGGCATTGGAATCAGCAACCTAAATGATTGGCGCAAACTTCAACAATAGCAAGCCTTTTTCCACTAGAAAATTGGACGACTCAAACTGAATCCTTCCTATTACGCGGATGATTATGAATTTTCCTTTATCGATTACTGTATTGATATTACACATTGGATGTGCAGTTCAACTTCTTATTCTTCTCCTTAGCTTTAAATGTGCAGCCTAAATGCCTGATAGCAAAAAATTATGTCCGAGAACTCCCCGAAGGCCAGTGGCACACAGTTTGGAACTCGGTGGATAATGGACTCACCCCTCTGCCTTCTCCAATTTATACTAGGTTTTTGTTTGCGGCAGAGTTCAAAATCCGTAATGTGCACCTAACCCACAATTGTTAATTGCGCTCTTACTACTAGACCAAAGCTCTGGAAGACACATGATAATAATGCTTATTGCAAACACTTTAAAATATCCTCCATAGTATGCTAAAAGAACATTGCTGAAGTTGCACTCAAAATGGTAAAATTCACATTAGTAGTCACACTAGCATTCATTACTTTTACAGAAAAGGTTCATGTACAAATAGACGATAAAATGTTTGCTTCAATGGATATTAGTGGAGATGTGTCGTTTTATTTATTTATTGACATGGGGGAAGACGCCGATAGGAAGGGGAAAGCAAGGATTATCACAATGGACCACTACTAAAATAGGGTATACCACATTCAGTAGTAAAATGAGAGAACTAAATTTTTTTATCAATTGATTACAAAAGACATCAATAGTAGGAAGCAAACTAACCCTTGTACAGCACGATGAAGGAAAGCTGGATTCCCTGGATCCAAGGGAAGTCTTCTCAACGCACTCAATGCAGCATATTGCAAATTACTCCGAATCGTAGACTGAAACATGAAGGGGAGAAAACGTAAGTTCACATATACCAAGCAGAACCATGATAATGGAGAAAACTTGAGGCACACCATCGTACGATAGCTATTTGTCCAACAACTCTTACACGCATGTACTACCAATAAAAGGACAATAATTGCATACATTCTTCAAACACAACAATGACCTCATGTTTGTCCTAAGAGCTATCCATAACAAACACATTGAACAATTATATTGGCAGTCTAAGTGGCTCAGACTTGTTTGTGGGTGTCCGATACGAATGCAGATCTAGAGGTCAAACCCTTTATGATCTAATATATTTTTTATATATATATATAAGGTTTGTTTTCATGATCTAATTTATAAAATTCGGGGATATGGATCCATGTATGGATACGGGTGCGGAGATTTGCCTAAAACTAATTAAAATATCTAAAAATAGAGTTATAAACCCTAAATTATGAGACATTATGTGGAGAACTTTAGGAGAATCCAGGAAGAATATTGAAGGAAAAGGAGTGACTTTTATATAAAAGGTATTCCATTTTCTTCAATTTCACCTTTTAACTTTTGTATAGACTACAAAAATCATGAAAACTGCCCAGAGTTTCCCCGTCGATTTTGGTCAAATTATCCAAAATTGGTTGACCAATATGGACACCGATTCGACACCCATGTCATGTCGACACGGGTGCGGTACCAAAAGTCAAGAGTGTGAGCAACTAGATGGCAGTAGCTATGAAGTTAAAAGTAAACATAAAGCATACAATCTTGTGGATGGAGTGTTTGATGAGCCATTGTTAAGTACTTTCTAATTTTTTTGAGAAATTGCAATTAATTGAAATACACATATATAAAGAGATAAATGTCAAAAACACACGTAAATTATTGTCTTTTTTTTAATTTCATACCTTAACTAATGCGAGTGTAACTTTCATACCTTAACTATCACTACTAGTTTTTTGATAAACACACTCAGTCGTGTGTAATACATGCTCTTTTAATTGCAATCCACATGGATAAAATATTTCACCTTGACAAAAATTAAATAAACAATTAATATAGTTAAAAACTAAGGAGTAAAATATTACTATCCCAAAAAAATTGAAAATTAAAAAAAATATATTTTAAAAAAAAAATTCTCACCCCACTCTACCATCTCCTACCCCCCCCCCCCATCCCCCGTCCTTTTATTCTATAAAATCTTTCATGAAATATTTTCTTATAATTCAGAACTCACCCCCTCTCTACTCCTTCATAAGAACATTTTTATATTATTTTTAAAAAATATCTACCCCACCCCATCTAACCCTCGACTCCTAGTTTATTTTTCTATTTTTACATTTTTCTTGTTTTGTGTTAGATGTGTATATATATCTTTAGAAAATATTTTTTTTATTCAAGTACAGAATAAAACAAAAATAAAAATTATAATTTAAAAAAAGTCTTCTGGCAAGTAAAAAATACTTTCCTAAAATCTCTCTCTCTCTCTCTCTCTCTATATATATATATATATATATAATTCAAAAAGGGAAAAAAATTGGAAGCAGAGGGTTATGTGGGGTGGGGTGGAATTTCTTTTTTTTTTTTTTAAATTATATCTAAATTATTATTTGAAGGGATGGTGGTTCGGAAAATGAAGTTATAATTCAAAAAGGGAAAAAAATGGAAGCAGAGGGTTATGTGGGGTGGGGTGGAATTTCTTTTCTTTTTTAAATAATATCTAAATTATTATTTGAAGGGATGGTGGCTCGGGAAATGAAGTTAGAATTATTTTCAGAAAACAAAAAAAAGGGATGGGGAAGAGTGTTGTAGAGGAAATGAAATGGAGTGGGGTAAGAGAAATATTTGACATTTAATTTGATTTTCTTTTTTTTTTGTGGGGGGGGGGGGGGGGGATGGGGGAGGGAGGGGATAGTGATACTTTAATCTTTAACTTAAACTAATAATTTATTTAATTTTTGTGAAGGTGGAATGCTTTGTCCATGTGGAGTGTGATGTGCCAATTTTTTAAAAATAAAAGAGTATCATACACACCATGAACCATGATGAGAGCGTAATAAAAGAGAGGTGTTTTTCAAAGTAACAAGTGATAGTTTAGGTATGAAACTCACACTCTCATCAAATTAGGTATGAAACTAAAAAAAAAAATAGTTTATGTGTGTTTTTGACCCCTCTCTCTCTCTCTCTCTCTCTCTCTCTCTCCCCCCACCCCCACCCCCTATATATATATATATAGGTAACTTTGTATTCACTAAAGGTTTATCAGCAAATAAATGATGAGCATGGGTCACTTACAATCTTATCAGAGCATATCAAACTACCCACTGGGAGATTACAAATTACCTATAAAGTCAGCAAAAAGTTCTATATCCCCATCATATCATGTTTGCACCAAAAGTACAAAAGACTAAGACAATTCATTCTAATTTTCTGGATGTTGTTTCTCTTATACACAGCATCTTCCGTTCCTTTCTTTCCATAGGGACCACCAGATGCAGGCTGGGATTAACTCACACCAATCTTCATTTGACTCCATTCTTCCTATCTTCTTCCAGCTATAGAGCAAGTCGTTAGTGAACTTTGGAATCACCCAGCATACACCAAGAAGACCAAGAAACATGTTCCACAAGCTTGTAGCTACTTTGCAATGAAATAAGTGACTATTAACTTCTGCATCTTGATCACACATAAAGCATCTTGAGCATAATTGTCTGCCTTTCTTTTGAAGCACTTAATGTGTTAAGCAGGCCCTTTTGCATACTAACCAAGCAAAATATGAGATCTTAAATGGTATTTTTATCTTCCACATTAACTTACATGGCCAGTTTCTGATCTGTGTTTGGCCAATATTGTATCTGCAGTAACATGACTTTACTGTAAACCCACCTTTGTTTTGCCATCTCCAAATAGACTTATCAGGTGCAGTGGAGGTGCCTGGGAAGGCATTGAGGATCTGAAACAAATTAATGATCCTCGCGATTTCCCAATCATTGAAAGCTCTCCTGAATATAAGATTCCAACCCTGAGGGCTCCATAGCTGTGAGATGTGGCTTTGTTTTGAGTGGTGAGCATAAACAGGTCTAGGAAGAGTGATTGAAGGCTTTCATCCCCAATCCAATGTTCATTCCAAAAATGAATTTTCCTACCATTTCCCACCTATAGTGAGATGTTGCCTTTGAACTGGGGCCATAATCTTCTAATAGTCTTCCACAACTGCATCCAAAAGTTCCAAGAGCCTCCTCAGTAATCCAGCTTTCCATACTTCATTGTGATGACTCTTTTCCAGAGTGACTGATCATCAATGCAGAATCTCCACAACCATTTTTGAAGACGACAATTATTCTGAAGATTGAGCTTTTTTATTCCCAGCCCCCCTTGCTTTCTGCTAAGAGTAAGAGTATCTCACTTAACTAGAAAGTAACATTTGTACTGTTTATTTCAATTCCATAGGAAAGACCTTCTGAGTTGATTGATCTTTTTCACAGTATTCTTTGGAATTGGAAATAGGCTCATCATATATGAAGGAAGGGCATCAAGGACTGATTTAATTAGAGTCAACCTACCCCACAGGGAGATGTATAGGCTCTTCCACCTAGCAAGCTTCTTGTTACATCTATCCAAAACTTCAGCCCACACTGTTGTCTCCTTATTTTGTGCTCCTAAAGGCCGCCCAGATACCTTGTAGGTACGGTTTTTATTTGGCAGCCAAGATTTCTAGCTAGCAACTCCATATTATCCACTTGATTCACAGGATAGAGAAAACCTTTTTTGCCAGTTTATATGCAGACCAGATATACCTTCAAAGATGGTAAGGATTGCTCTAATGTGTCTAATTTGTATCGCCTCAGCCTCACAGAAAACTTAAGTATCATCTGCATATAGTAGATGAGTAATCTGCACCTCATTGTCCCTATTCCCCTGAGTCTGAGCCTTAAAGCCTTTAATCCATCCATTAACATTAGCTTTTCTGATCATGTGATTGAGGCCATCCATGGCTAGCAAGAAAAGAAAAGGTGAGAGAGGGTCACCTTGTCTCAAACCTCTTTGTAATTTGAAAAAACCTTCTTAGTTTCCATTTATGATCAGGCAGAATTTAGCAATGAATATGCAGAACTTTATCCAATTGAGCCATTTCCTCCAAAATTCCATGTCCTTTAAATTCTTCAAAGAAAAGCCCAATTGACGTGATCATAGGCCTTCTCTATGTGGAACTTACATAAAATTCCAGGAATTTTTTGCTTAACTCTGGAGTACCAACTCATTAGCAACTAGTGCAGCATCCCATGATCTGCCTTCCAGAAAGGCCATTTGGTGTACATCAACCAGTAATCAGTTTGGAAATGATCTTGCAGACTCCTCCTATCAAGCTTATAGGCCTGAAATCTTTCAATTTTTCTGCTCCATGTATTTTAGGAATCAGTGCTAGGAAGGTGGCATTGAAAGACTTTTCAAAATTCCATTTTGATGGAAATTGTGAAGATTCAGCATCAGATCCTCTTTTAAAAGAAACTCATTGTGTAGCCATCTGGACCTGGAGCTTTATCTCCGTCCAAAAGTTGTAGCATTGCAAGACCTCTGATTCAGAATTTGAGAATTGGTGGCAAAGGTGGAGGGTTTCACCAACTTGATTGAGAGTTGGTGGAATGAATTTCTAGAGAAAAGTTATCCTGATTACAGATTGAATATTAAACTAAGAATGCTAAAGCAGAAACTCAAGGAGCGCAGCAAGTCAAATTTTGGGGAGCTTACTAGTAAGAAAAATAGCTTACTGGAGGAACTCGCAGAAACTGATTTGATACAAGAAACCAGGGAATTGACTGAAGATGAAGTGATACTAAGAGCCACCATAGTAGTGGAGCAAAAAATGAAGAATTGAAATGGAGACAAGAATCAAGGCTTTTATGGCTGAAACAAGGAGATAATAACACAAGCTTTTTTCAGAAAATGGCAACCGCCCACAGAAGGATCAACACTATTGATAGGTTGATTGATAGAGGAGAGGTTGTAGAAGACCCTGTAGAGATCAGGAGCACCATGATTAACTTCTACAAAGAACTTTACACTGAATCTGTGGAGTGGAGACCCAGTTTTGACCTTATGGAATGTCCAACTATTTCCCAGGAAGAAAAGGATTGGACGCAAAGACCATTTACTGAATCAGAGGTAGATATATATATATATATATATATTGTGTGTATATAGATCCCAATCTTTTAGGCAAAGCAATGTAGAATCTCATTTTATTTTTGTGATCTGTAAGAAATATAGCATTGTTATTTCTTTACCGCCTCCTACAGATACATCCATTGGTCTGGATACTTCGGTACTATCATATCCTACCATATGGCTAAGTAAAGATGTATTTTTCAATTAGCAGTACTTCAGAATTCCAAGGCTAATGAAAAGACCACAAAAGGACAAATTACCAACTCTTACTGGATATCATGTGAAAATAATATATCAAATAAAGATTGCACAGCTGGTTATAATAGAAATCTTAAGAGAGGAAGCACACACGTTTTCAAGCTAACAATTATGTTTCTGTGTTAGAAAATTCTCCTTCATCACGCGTTTGTTATATAGTAAATCAATACCCGATGAAGGAATACAATAACTTGCAGACAAAAAGATTTATGTGGTTTGACAAAAGTACCTCCTTATCAACTCCTTTGGTCCCAAGGATGCCCTTCTTGCGTTTTTGTGGTGTATCAGCAACCTAACAATTGTAAGGCATAAACAAACAACTTGCAGTTCAGTAAAGCTGATTTTTTTTCAATGATTTAAGTAAAGAAAGTTATTGAAGAACATCAGTTGTACATCTAATAAATACTCCCTCCGTCATAATTTATGTGATGGTGCTTGATTGGGCGTGGAGTTTAAGGATGAAATGAAGATTTTTGGAACTTGTGATCTAAAATAAGTCATAGATATTTGTGTAGATATAAGTGCCCGTTTGGATTGACTTGTTTTAGGTGTTTTTAAGCCAAGATAGTTTTTAAGCAGTTTTGAAGTGTTCGGGTAAAATTAAAAAGTGCCTATAAACACTTATTTTAAAGTCAAAATAACAAAAATAAGTCAAAAGTCATAACTTAGAAATCCTAACTTACGCTTTTGGCTTACAAGTTGTAAGTCAAAAGCCAATCCAAACAGGCCCTAAATCTCATTAAGGGTAAAATGGGAAGTTAAAGTTAAATTGTTACTAAATATAGAAAGGTGTCAATTCTTTTTGGGATTGACTAAAGAGGAAAGAGTTTCACATAGATCGAGACGGATGGAGTAGAATTTGTTTGAGGCAAAAAGAAATCACACTCATGAATTCTCTAGCATAATTAACTACCATAGTTTCAAATATTTGGAAGACCTCTTCAGGAAATGTATGTATCACTTATACTTGTGGTATAGAGGTACTATTTGTACTCATAATAGAAAAATAGAAATATACTTAATAAACCGCAACCATGAATTAAAATGCACTCTATCGGGCAAAAACATTTGTTTTTGTTTTTTTGTGAAAGGTAAGAATTGAGGAAAAGAGTATTTTTATTTGGGAGTGATACAAAAACAACACATCCACTTAAATCCCATGAGGTGGGGTCTGGGGATGGTAGAGATTATGCAGACCTTACCATTACCTTGAAGAGGTAGAGAGGTTATTTTTTATAGACCCTCGGCTTAAGTGCATCAAACTCAAGTACACAAAGAAGATAAAGATGAAGAAACATAGCAATCATATATTTATACAAAAGAGAACCTTACACCCGCCTACATGGCGCCACTACAAGCCAGAATTTCCTTTTAAATTTATTTATATCCAAAACTAGTCTTTCCCTTTTATGAAAAGTTGCGACTTTTATGAAAAGTTGCAGCTTTCATGAAGAGTTGCGACTTCATGAAAAGTTGCGACTTCAAATGAAGAGTTGCAACTTTTATAAAAGATATGACTTTAATGAAAGGTTGTGACATTTCCGAAGGGTTGCAATAGTTGTGACCTTTCCAATAGGCGCAACAAATAGTAGTTCACACTACCCTTGTTAAATACAGAGATTTTTTCTCATTATAAAACAAAAAATCTGAACTTCTTATTCTTCCTTTTCTTCTTCTTTTTCTTCTTCTTCTACACAATTAAATATTCGTGTACTTTGCTCCTGTTGAGTTGCTCGATGACACCATTGCTTATGTTACAGATCCAAGTATCATTTTTCCAGTCATAAATTTATGCGTATGTTGTTAAAAGATAAATGATATGTAATAATTTTCATTTTCCTTTACATTATTAATGTTCGTTACTGCATAATCTTATTAGTAAAATATTGTGTTTTAGTTTTAATGAAGGATAGGTTTTAAATATTATTTTATGAATTACATGATATAAATTCCCGCGCAAAGCGCGAGTAATTTTACTAGTTAACAAGGAAAGCAGAGTAAAGTGTACAATAAAGAACAGAAACATCAGCAAATAGTCTGATAATCGAAACACAATAAACAACATATGGCAATAAATACACGGAACCTTCGCAAGGCAAGACAACACTCTAGACGTACTAGTATTCTACCCTAATACGCAATTTCCACTCCATCCTATCTAATTCATGACTCGATAATCCAAAGTTGCACCATGTCGTGTCTAATCACCTCTCTTCAATACTTTTTCGACCTACCTTTACCCCCTCCATGTACCCTCTACCACCCACCTCTCTCACCTCCTCATTGGGGCAGCAACACAACTCATCTGCACATGCCAGGCCATCTCAATCTTGCTTACCTCAGCTTTTCCACCAAAGAGGCCACTCCAACTTTCTCTCGCATAACCGCATTCCTAATTTTGTCGCTCCTAGTATGTCCACACATCCCTCTCAACATCCGCATCTTGCAACATGCATCTTCTCAACAATGAGTTCTTAATTGGCCCACACTCCACTTCATACAACAAGGAAGGTCTAACAACCATTCTATAGAACTTTTAGTTTCAAAAAAAAATAACCACTCCATAGAACTTATCAAGTTAAAGCGGTACCACTCTATAGAACTTACCAAGTTTAGGTGGTACCATATTATCACACAAGACACCAAATGCAAGCCTCCATTTCATCCATGTCGCTCTAATGGGATGTGTGACATCATTGTTAGTGTCTCCACTACCTTGGATTATGGACCCAAGATACTTAAAAAATCTCCCTCTCAAGGATATGCTAAGTGGCAAACCTTACTTACACGTCCATTTCATCCACCATCACACTGAATTTACACTCCAAATATTTAGTTTTGGTCCTGCTTAACCTAAGCCCTTTGGACTCCAGAGTTTGTCTCCAAACCTCTAATCTAGCATTGACTCTGTCACGAGTTTCATCAATCGGTACTATGTCATCCGCAAATAACATACACCATTGAACCTCCTTCTTCTAAATATACCCCGTCCACTCATCCATCACCAAGGTAAATAAGAAAGCGCTAAGAATTGATCCTTGGTGCTAGTGTTGCCCATCTCAACTGGAAAGTCTTTCGTGTCTCCTCCCACCATTCTACAAGACTCTTGGCTCCTTCATACGTGTTCTTTATAATTATCGCCTTAATATAAGCCATCAGGACACCTTTAACCTCCAAGCACCTCCAGAGGACATCCCTCAGGAGTTCGTCAATTTTCAAAGACTGAACATCATAGGTAGATCCCTCTTTCTTTCTCCATATTTTTCCACCGATCTCCGCACAAGATAAATGGCTTCAGTGGTCGATCATCCCGGCATAAATCCAAATTGATTCCTAGAAATGAACACTCCTCTCCTCACCCTCATCTCCACTACTCTATCTCAAACCTTCATGGTGTGGCTTAGCAATTTGATACCCTTGTAGTTGTTACAATTTTGGATATCACCCTTGTTCTTGTACAGTGGAGCCATTATTCTCCATCTCCCTTTGTCTAGCATTTGTTTTCTTAAGAATAACACTTAACAACCCAGTCAACCACTTCCTACCTTCCTTGTCTGTGCTCTTCCGAAATTTCACCGGAATCTCATCAGGTCCAATTGCTCTTCTTCTGTTTAACGTACTAATAGCATGTTTAACCTCCTCGACCTTAAAACACCTACGATGCCCGATGTCTTTCACAGTGCACCAAATCACCCAACACAATGTATCAGTCCCTTACTTTGTTTAAGATTTTGTGGAAGTACGCTTGCCATCTTTGCTTAGTGGCAGCCTCCTTCACCAACACCTTGCCTCTCTCATCCTTAATACAAATATAATATACAACTGACTGGAGCCTAAGTAAGTAAATGGCAATGGTTTTTTTAAAAAAGGAATATGTAGTTGACAATGGTTTTTTTAGAGAAGGTAACATGTACTTCCAAGGCCTCTTAGTTATTAGTATCTCCCCATTAGGACTCTAGTTCACTTTGACAAAAAGTAAATAATAATGAACATCTCGTAACTCCTTTTTTAATAGACCAAAAGCATTCAATTATACTTCACCAACACGTAAATCATATTCATAGAGTCAAAAACATAGAAAATTAGGAACGATTGGGCAAAAAAAGCATTCGGAATTTATAATTATTAAAAGTGTAATGAGTTCCAAAGTGTTTGGTTGACCAGGAGGTCAAATTATTACCATCACTAGAGAAGATAAGAATATTGAGGGGAAGGATATTCAAATATTTATGGTCCACAGAATTTGCTAAAAGAAGGAAAAAACTAGACTCTCATGAGCATCTGTGTCCAAAAACAAAGGTGAATGTAGATGAAAGCAGGAAATTTATACTAAAAATTGGTGTTGCTTCACTATGAAGATTGTGGATTGAATTTGCAAACTAGGACCGAAAAAAGGGTAAGACCTACCTTTAGCAAATCAAATTCACAAGTTCCCCAGATACTACCATAAGAATTAGCATTTAAACTTCAAAACATAATAAAAGTTCAACTAATATTCGTCCCAATTTATACGACACCTATCCCATTTTGGAACTATTCAGATATTGAACATTGATGCGATGTTATCTCTATTAGACTTATTTTCAGCCATTACATTATTATTTTATTATGTTGCATATATACATGTTAAATTACCATCTTAAATAATGTATCCAGTTTAACGTCATCATATAAAACGAGATAGAGGAAGTAATGATCTGTGAGTTAACAGTAATCAGTCGTTTATACGAACTCATCTCTATTTGGTGACTCAAAAACTATCGTGTAATGATTAATATCTCTTTAGAAAGTTAATATTTTAAATAATTTTCTTTGGACAAACTCTGTCCTTCACCTTCTGTTATAGTAATAATATATTTTCACAAATCAGTTTTTCAGGTTAGCAATTAGTAGAAAGTAAATGTAGACACCTCCTGCAGAAACTAAATTGTTACTTCAAATTGAATTTCGCAACATGCCTGTATCCCTTCAGGTAAATAACAAAATACAGCTGAATATCGTATAATCTGATTTTGATGTGTTTAATTTAAATATGTCAAACATCTCAATTACTTCCAGCACAAAACAGTGGACCGTCCCCCCTACTCCTTTACGAGAAGGAAAGAGACAACAGGGAACAATAAATTGGACTGACTTATCAGGAAAAAGAGGGCTGAAATAAATTGGAGACAATACAGCATATATGCTAAATATGTACCAGATCAGCCTCACCCACATTAATAATGAAAATGTGAAATCATATGAAATAGGTTGTTTAAGAGAAGCTATCAAAATCATCAAGAAAGAGAAGCTAAATGTACAAAGGAAGGGATTCTTTCAATCCAAATGTAAAATGATGTTGGTACAAAGAGCGGGATTTTTTCAATGCAAATGTAAAAAGGAGCAGACAATAAGATAGATTTGTGGACAAACCTTATCTAGAATGCCAAACACGATTTCATACAACTTCTGTGTTATCTCAGGGCTGCTAGAAGGTGCATATGTAAGAGCCTTTAGTGCTTGAAGACGTCGTGCATGAACTTCAAAAAGACAAAGGAGCATCACCAACTTCATCCAGTTAAACAAAAAGACAACCATATGAAACAAATTTGTCTAATTGATAAAGTTCTGCTTGTAATGGCCCTAAAAATGATTTATAGAAGTTAACTTCATGTGTGAGAAAAGACAACCATATGAAAAAAAAATAACTGATTAATAAAGTTCTGCTTGTAATGGGCCTAAGAATGATATACAAAAGTTAACATCATGTGTGAGAAATTCCTGGTTGACAACAGATCTTAGAGAATGAATTGGTTCATAACTTATAGACCTGCTTTAATAGCAGCAAGGCTCGAAGCAAATAATGGCATGTGCAAATGGAAGTGCATGGCAAAAATTTTGACAATTAAGTTGACAGCAGAGCAACTATATTTCTGCAGGGAGCATATTCAGTTTAAAAGAATTCACTCTATACCTATAAATAATTTTGAGGAGGATTCAAAAGGCTTGCGTTCAAGCAATGCAACAAGCTAAAAGAATCACAGCAGGTCAAACATCGAGATAAAAATGTTGCTTCTTACATCTCAGGTTGATGCATCCTATTTATGTGGCCCTAAGAATCAGTAGGTCAAACATCAAGAAATAGGGTGGTTACTAATTCCACCTTTGGATTCGATGGGGAAGATTGTTAGAAGAAAGAGGATATGGCTCCTCTAGCACTTATGTGAACTGTTTGAAGGGAGAGAAATATGTGAGCTCTAGAAGGAGCAGAGAATGATTTGCACAACTAATGAGCAGACTCTTATCCCTTAATGCTGCTTTGTACACCACGTAATTCTTATTTGTAGATAAGATTGGGTGACTTCTGCAGAACAACATATCATTTTATAAGCTTTTTTACTTTTTGATATACCACTGTTTACAGATGGTTTAGCACCCTTCATTCAAAATATTGTATTACTTCAAAAAAAATGATATGATGATTGTTTTAGAATGAATAACTATAAAACATAGAAATTGCAACTCAGAGTAAGTGAATAATAGTAGTAGACTTTACACTCAACATCTTCATTTAAGGCCTCTGATGTTAACCGATCTACTATTCTAGGTACCACGTCAGCTCTTGTCACCCCTCCAACTGCATCAATATCAGCTAAAGCATCCCAGTTTGGTGTAGGAATACCACCACCTGAGCTTACACCTTGCGAACCACTATCTGAGAGAATTCGGGCCAAGTAATAATAGACATAACGCAGAACAGTTCGATCCTCGCACTGTTGATCAAGCTGTGATGTAATGAAAGAAACGGAAGAGTGGGTAAATTTTTCATAAAGCTTAACAGATTTATAAGAACACATTCTGTCCAGCATAAGTATAACATAAGGAAGCTCTAAGATATGAATACTGATCCAGAGTCTGCTTAAGGAAGCTCTAAGATATTTTTAAAAAATAAATCACTTCTTTCCTTTAGTAGAATAATCTACAATCTTCTCCAAATAAAAGGAAAAGAACATTTTCAGAGTGGTAAACTCCTCCAACTACCAAATCCTTCACTGCAGACAAATTGTTTTTTGAAGAACAGACAACAGAAAATTTTTTGGGTTAAAACTTATATATACCTTCTTGAATCAAAGGCAATGCTAAAGACGAAACAAGACAAATAAGTAGTCAAAATGCACATTTACATCAGATAGTCAAAATTTTCAAGACAGATTAAGCATTCAAGCTCTAAATACATATCACAGCTCGACTATTAAACCATTTCATGAAAATCAGAAGTCAGAAATACTCAATGTATGCCCTCTTCTGGTATTATTCTCTAGTTTGGCAAACTCAAAAGTGCTTTCTAGTTTTTTGTTATCCGGGAAGAAATAGCAAATGAATTGCAGAAACAGGATAAAAATGATCATAAGCAATACCATAAGAAGAGAAGGTGCTAGAGAAGGATCAACAGAATTGTATACTGCCAATTTTGGGAAAACATGATGAACCAATTGCCTCTGAGAACTTTTCTGCAATTAATCACATACAAAAAGAGAACAATTAAAGAAAGAATTTTCCAGAGGAAAGTACAAAGTGAGAAAGCTAATGTACTTGATCAGACGTGGCTGCTAGCTCGTGGATGCTCCTTGCAAGTTGTGCATAAGAAACTGGCTGTACAAAAAAAGTAAAGCAAATTGAATCAGGTACACTAGAAAGGCACACAAAAGATCAAAGATATTCAAACAACTTTTGGTCAAAGACAATATGTCCCATTACCTTAAAAATGTACACCATTTAGGTTAGCTAGGTCTAGTCCTATAATATAAATTCCCAAAAGCTGGAAGGGACATTTTTCCTTCTATAACACCATCAAAGGGGTAGAACTATTTTATGAGTATAGCCGCGATAAGATTGTGCATTGTGCGCAATAAAGGTTTATAAGAACAATTATGAACGAGGATGAATTATGCAAGAAAGTAAAATTATTCATTTATATTATCCTCTTGAACAAATGTGCAGTTGCAGGCAGGTTATAACTGTACTCGATTTGATAATGCTGAAGAGTTATACTATAGATCAAAAAGATCAAGGTTATAAATTGGTGATAGTAAGACCACCAGAAACATTTGTGGAGAGGGAGCTTCTAAAACTGTTCATCAGCCCTTCGAGGTAGATAACTCTAGCCTCGAAGAGTCTGAGCATGTTAGGGATTGTTGTATGTATCATATTTCAAGCGCTTCTGCGGCTTTTGTATTATATTTCAAGTGCTTCCGGAGCTCTTATTTTCCTGGTAGTACTCTTGATGGATTTCTTTGCATCCAATTTTCCAAGGTTATTTCCTATATTCTAGCCTATCATGTGAATATCGACTTTAATGGAGAAGGACATGAATCTACTGTGACCAAGACGGGTCTCGCTTGGGAACCCGTTCCACTGGTGGAAGCCGACACAGTGGTTCTTTCCCATTCATCAGGGATTTATGCTGAAGAAGAATGGACTGAAAGGGGCATTGCAGATACTGTTACCATTTTGATAAGCTATCCGGTGACTTTGTATGCATTACATTGGGTGATAAATCCATGCTTATCCTCTCCTTAACTTGTTACTGTTAAATGCCCTTTTACACAAACCGTGGGAAGAAGGAGTTAACATTGTTAATGTTGCAATGAATTCAGACTAACACATTGACAAATGATGTTGGCCTCTTTGGTAATGCACGAGTAAATTGACGGTAAGGGCCAAATATTTTCAATAATTGGAGCTAAGCTGTCTCTCTGCGAGCTATGACTATGAAGATTGTGGGAATTGCTATTCTGAGGAGCAGGAAATTGAAAAACACAAACCAATGAACCCAATTTACAAACTAATCAAAACTACTTATCTTAATTCCCAAATATATCAAGCAGAGGCCGACCATCTTGAACTAAGGTGTTGACACAACTGATGAAGTTGGGTACCGAACAAGTATAATGAATTTAAATGATCTCAATTGATACCACGTTCAAGTTAACTAATCTAATATGAATTTTCCACGTAATAACAACTAACTAGACATTGGAAGTCAAACCGAGATTTTCTAGCTCAATAATACAAATAAGTCTTTGCCTTCTCCCTAACACTTTCTCAAACATCTGGCTTGGGTTAGAAATGTATATAAAGGAATTTAAAGATTGGTAATGGGATACCAACTGAACGGAAAGTGCAACCAGTAAAAGATGTAAAAAAATTGACAACAAAAGTTCATAGCTTGATTTCAAATTAGCCAGTGTCAGAGATAGATAATTTTGTGATTCGAAATAATAGTATAGCATTTAGAGTCATAAAATAATATGTAAAAAATGACCTTTTTCTTTTGTTTCTGAGGCATAATGTTGGCACGAACAGCCTTAGCAGCAGAAATAGTATCACTTTGGATCTGCATCAATGTTCCCTTCTTCTTCCGATCTGTGGATGCGGAATGCGGCGGCGCCGACTGTTGAGGCATTATCAGTGGTGGAGCAGTCGTCGACTGTGATGAAGTTGAGGTGGATGATGGGTCTGACGTTATCAGATCCATTAGTGTTGTCCCCGACGAATCCTGCATCATTTGCAAAACGAGAAAAAAGAGAAGCAAAATTTAGAGCTGGAAAGAGCACATATATGTATCATACATGAAAATTTGTGATCAGCTTTAGGTTAGAGAAGATGAAATGTGAAATCGAAGAGTGATATCAGTAAGAAAATTACTGTCATGGCTGTGCTTTGATTGAAGTGAATGAAGCAGACGCAGACACTAAAAATTATGAAGATGCACGTTGATTTGATGAAGAAGAGAAAACTCTAAAGTCTTTCTTCTTTGGAATTGGAAAATACACCTAAATCCCTCTTAGATGCTTTATATAAAAAAAATTAATAATAATTAGAAAAAAAAAAAATGGTAAAGCTTTGTTTTCACAGAGAGTATTGCAAAAATCCATTTTTAATTGATAAATCTCAAAATTCAAATTCTGTTGTAAAACAGTGACCATTACCACGTGGAGCCCACCACTTTAGCGACATTCATCACTTATTTTGGGGCCTTGAATTATAGGTGACATTAAGGTGTCAAAATAAAAGGGTGGAGATGTAACAATCCTGAAAGTTCATAACTTAGTGTAGAGTCTCATATGATGAACCAAGACTAAAAACAATGTTTTTAAGCCTAAGTTAATCTATTGAAACCAAGTAGGAAGTATTTGAGCCAAAACATTAAAGAAAAACCTTGACGTCCGAAAACTAGCGTAATTAACTAGTAGACGTCTCTATGTTTGGTCAGAATTTTCGGGAGTGTTATATGGAGTCTAAAACTTGTAAAAAGACTTAAAATAGGTAAAATATAGTATATATGGTCCAAACGTCCAGTAACGACTCCCTAAGGACCACCCGAAGAGTCCTTGAGGAGGACCCAAACATTGGCGAGCAAGTTGTCAAAGCAGCGTGCGTGCAGCCAAGATGTGAGAGCCCCCACGCATTGCGCAGCCAGCACTTGGTAGGAAAAAAGTGTCTCGCGATGCGGGGCCTTCATGAGGCTCACTGCCTCAGCCCAGATTTCAGAAAAAAATAATTGGAAATGCCCCCGCGATGCGCAACCACTTTCCATATTTGTTCGCGTTGTTTTTAAGTCAATTTGACTATATCCATGACTCCTTTTGAAGCTTTGTATGGTAGGAGATATAGATCTCCAATTGGTTGGTTTGAAGTTGGCGAGTCTTCACTTCTTGGTCACGACTTAATCTATAAGACCTTGGGAAAGTTCATATCATAAAGATCCGGTTGAAAACGGCCTAGAGCCGGCAAATGTATTATCCCGACAATAGGAGAATAAAGTTATATTTTGAAGAAGGTGATAAAGTGTACTTAAAAATTTCAACCATGAAAGGGGTGATGAGATTTGGCAAGAAAAGGAAGTTGAGTCCTAGGAACTCTACATAACACCTTCAAAGTCTATTGTGCAATGTCTAGATAGCATCACATACCACCACCTAAACTCCATAAACTCCTCTAATGTTAATCGGTATTTCATATGATGAGAATAGGCAATAACCGACATAGACCATGATAGCTAGACATGAAATCCGGAGTTCTATCCTACTCCGATGAGGTTGTTCTACTTGCCAATGGTAGAACTTAGACACATCCCATATAGGCACATGGTTAAGGAATATGAAGGGCATACTTTGTAATCTAGTCTCATACTTAACTAGTACTACTTTCCCTTACCATACTCACTCGGTGCTAGACTTAGTTCTCATAGATCAATTCTCATTAAGGTTCATATAAAAGGGTCCTATAACAAGTTCATAACCCAATCACATTTACCCTACCAAGGAAGGTCCACTAGGGCTACCTCACAATGGCGACAAGAAGCTCATGATGACTTTCCTAAGGATTAATATGATGTCGTTCCATCCAACTAACCTTAAGTCCATCATTCCTTTACTATGAAGGATACCATTATGGCTTACGCTTCAACAATCTTAACCTTACCCTTAAGTCAAGGTTTTCACATAATAGACTCTCATCTCATCTTTTAAAGTCACATGTCATTCATACATTCAAGACTAAGAGTTCTAACACCCTAAACCAATACATCACATATTCATAATCATATATACATCAAGCAAGTGACACAAGTCAACCAAGACAAGATACCACATACTTCACTTTTAACTCATAATGCAAGTCATTCTAGAAAACACCAAGAAAAAATCTAATATCTTCAAGTCATCATATATATCATCATAACATCATGAATTTACTCCACATAGACTCACAAAGCCAAGTAGGAATAACCAAGACTTAACCCTAACACTATTCTCATAATGTAAAAGTCATAGTCTAACATGATCACTTAAGACAACATAAGTTATGACTTCACATGTAGATAGATAATGTCATGCTTCACATAATCAACTACACAAATGGCCACATTGCTTAGTTTCCAAGAAGTCCATGCTCATCATATTGCATAAAGTAACGCCGACAAGGCCACGTCAATTGCAAGTACAACACATAACACCGCCACCATAAGTGGACCATACCAATCACAATAGAATATAAGTATAATTAATATCAAATTAAATAAAATGGGGCATGATACCTTCATCCCCTCATCCAAACTTACATTCAATGCCAAATCAACCAATTCAACATCACAAGGCCCTTACCCATGGCCATGAACAATAATTCAAAGCAATAACTGTAATACTCAATGAATCTACATCAATTCAATCTAGGTTTAACAATATAAGATCAATAAGATATCAATTGAATACAATTCTTATATTATTAGAAAGCCCATAAGAAATTACATAACAATTCAACATTATTAGCTTAATATCAAGTAACCCAATAAGTAGTAAAAACTAGGGTTCATCAATTTACATGGGTTCATAGGTAATTTAGATTCAAATCACCAATAAAATATCAATTAGATCATAATTCAATGTTTAGAAATCATTTATGCAAGAACCCATGGTAGAATCATGGAATTAGACAATTCACTTTAGAAAACTTTGAAAAACATCTTGAGAGTTGGGCTCCTTGATGAAACGAGTTTCAAGGATCAAAAGCCATACCTCAAGGATGATAATTTTTCACTTTGATGATTAATTTCAACACAAAAACCCCTCACCAAGCTTCCTCTTCAAGTTGGACTTCAATGGAGGTTTTGGGATATTTTCTAAGTGTTTTGGGTTTATGATTTTGAAAAATGAAGTCTTCCATGTGATTACCCCTTATATACTTAATAAATATACCTAAATAACCCTTAATAAACCGTCCATAACTTAATTTAGAAGTGGGGTGAACTTAAATTTCATCCCTTGACTTGGTAGAAGACCTGCGCAGGAGAACAGGTTGCATGACGACTTGCTCTTGACGGGGCGTCATCACCTCGATGGGTCGTCACAGGCCTCTGTCGGTGGAAACAGTGGCTGGACAAGATTCCATAATTCATACAAGGCTAATTCCATCACAACTGGACCCTTTGACGGGGCGTCACAGCCACGAATGGCCGTTGACTGCTTCTTCTCCAAGGTCTGCCTCGGACAACCTGCACATTGATTTTTGGTCCTTCCTCAAGGACCCTTTGGTGAACCTTGGGGAACATTTCCCGGACGTTTCCAACCCAAATATGACCATATATAATTTTAAAACCTATCACATGAATTTCATCTAAAATGAACACGTAAAACTTGACGAAACTCGCCTAGACGTACAAGGTCGACCCAAGGCATATCTTTCGAACACCTTGGACGTTCTTGGTCATTTGACCTCCAAAATCTTTGAAATTCTTAACCAATTCCTATACATGATATATTAACTCAATCAATACACTTAAAACATCATGAAACACACATAAACACATAGAACAACATAAGAGACATTTAGGTGACTTAGTCATCGAACGTTTTAGTCGTCCCTTGACATTTGACTTCCAACACCCCTAATACTTTAGATACGTCCTCTATACATTATATTAGACATATTTAGGACCTTAGAAAATCAATACAAACATGTTAGGATCTAGTTAACTTAGGCCATTTTTGGGGTCTTACAATCTCCCCCACTTGGACAATATTCGTCCTCGAATGACACTTGCTACTCTCCGAACACTTCCAAGATTAGAGACTCAACTATAAGCTAATAACCATTCCATAAAACACATAATCACAAGAAAACATCAATTTCACATAATCAAGAGATTCATAACACAACCAGAAACTAGAAAACATTTATATAACACATTAGGCTACTAAACTCACATTCTTCAATCCAAATAGTAAAAACTCATTTTATACTCAATACCCTACTTATATACATTAGTTATAAACACATTACGATATTTTAGGCAAATGAATCAATTAGTCATTTTTTCAAAAATATGGCAGCATGCAGTTTTAATGCAACAGTGAATTTTAAAGCCATTTTAAAGCAATTTTTCAAAAATCCACATTCTAAGCAATTCATGATATAAACATGCTTATATGCAAAACAACATCATATAAACACATCTTACAACATAATAATGGCTTCATAAAACACACAATGCAAGAACCAAACACAATTCAATTTCAACCAAACTCCTAAACATCATGCATAAGCAACAAATTGAACGACTTCTATCCTATCTACAAACCATACTCCCCCACTTAGAAGGAACTCATATCTTAACAAAATAAAGAGAACTTACCAACATCATCATCACTCTCCTTTTCATCCGTCTTCTCCACCCTAGAACGGAGTGCATAGAAACGCCTCTTTATTGAAGCATCATCTTTTGTAACACTAGGAGCAACTTGTTTACCCTCTCTACCTCTTGAAGCAATCATTGGACAATCTCTCACTTTGTGCCCATCTTTACCACAACTAAAGCAACTCCCGGTACCCAATAGACACTTACCATAATGTTTCTTTCCACAATTTACACAAGTAGGCTTGCCATCCTTGGAACCACCTCTTTTCTCAACCTTGAACTTAGCACTCCTAGATTATCCTTGAGATTGAACCTTCTTCTTAAACCTAGTTTGCTCTTGATCACTAGCACCACTGCTTTTAAAACTTCAAGCCATCCTCCTAAGTTTAGACTCTTCAATTGATTGTGCATACTCCATAAGTCTAGCTAAGGTCATATCATCATGCAACATAGAGGTATGATATTCTTCCACCACTAAGTCAACTACCCCCATCACAAAACGACTCATTTCATCTCTTGGATTAGACACAAGAGAAAGGGCATGCCTAGACAAATTTGAGAATTTCAAAGAGTTTTCCTCAACACTCATATTACCTTGCTTGAGATTGATAAACTCTTCCACCTTAATTTCTCTCCTCTCTCGGGGAAAGTACATACCAAGAAAAGCTTCCTTAAATTTTTCCCATTCAATAGGACCCAATCCTTCCAGCCTGTTATTGTTCCATTGAGTCTACAAAATTTGAGAAACATCCCTCAATTGGTACAAAGCCAACTCTGCCTTCTCCCTAGATGTAACCCCCATATCACTCAAAAATTTGTACACTCCATCAAGAAACACTTGGGGATCCTCATATACCTTAGAGACATCTTCAGAACCTCAATACCTCCTTCCACATTAGGAATATGATCACCTAGGGAGGCACTTGGGCATCTTGAGCACATTGAACTCCTTAGCCACCTTGAGGAACTTGCTCAACTTACTCAACTTGAGTTGGAACCTACTCATTCACCCTCTCCTCTTCCAACCTTCTAGCTGCCATCCTCCTAGTATTCATCTCCTAGAAAACACAAGGAAACTCATAATAAGGATAATCATAATATTTACTCTACCGCACGACATAGGATTAGAAATGAAGGGAAACTTTATCGTCCTATAGACTCTCGCCCGTAGATATGTAGAAATGAAGAAGGAAGTAATGATTTTCTTAGGGAGGTTGAACTACATCAATCGATTCATAGCTCAATCAACTATGGTGTGTGAGACTATCTTCAAGCTGTTAAAGAAAGTCGCTTTGACAAAGTGGACTGAAGAATGTCAGACTGCTTTCTATGCCATCAAGAATTATTTGTCTAATCCACCAGTGTTGGTTCCTCAACGATAAGTGATCCCATTGTTGCTATATTTATCTATCTCATATAACGCATTTGTATGCGTACTTGGTCAACATGACGAGAAAGGGGAGAAGGAATGAGCTATTTATTACATAAGCAAGAAGTTCACTCCGTACGATTCCCGTTATACTCTTTTGGAAAGAACATGTTGTGCTTTAACTTGGATTGCCCATAAATTGAGGCATTATTTGTCTTCTTATACTACATATCACATTTCCATAATGGACCCGTTGGACTATATTTTCCAGTAGGCGATGTCGACCAGAAAGTTGGCTAAATGGCAAATGCTTTTGAGTCAATTTGATATTGTGTATGTGATTTAGAAGGCAATAAAAGCACAAGCCTTGGCTGATCATCTTTTGAAAAATCCCATCGACGAAAAGTATGAATCTCTAAAGACTTATTTTTCCGGTGAAGAAGTATCGTTTGTGGTGAAGATATTTCTGAAGCATATTCGGGTTGGAGGTTATTCTTTGATGGAGCGGCAAATAACCAAGGAAGAGGTATTGGAGCGTTCTTAGTGTCAGAATCCGATCAAAACTATCCTGTGGCTTTAAAATATTGTTTAACTGCACGAACAACATGGACAATATGAAGCATGCATTCTTAGGTTGAAGATGGCCATCGATATGAATGTTCATAACTTCTAGTTATCGGAGATTCAGATTTGTTGATTCATCAGGTTCAAGGACAATAGGCCATGAAAAACCCGAAGATCACACCGTATGTGCAATAAATATAGAAGTTTTCCTATGCTCTTGCCACCATCTCTTCAATGATTAAACATCTAGTTACTGGTCATATTGACTCTCTGGATATAGTGTTGAAAGAACATCCAGTTCATTATACACAATTCGAAGCGAAACCAGATGGTTTGCCATGATATTTTGATATAAAGAAGTACTTAGAGACTGGAAGTTATCTTGGAGATGCAACATCCAACTAAAAGAAGTCGATACATTGTATGGCTCTCAATTTTCTTCTAAGTGCAGAAATCCTTTATAAGAGGACTCCCGATTTAGGTCTTTTCAGATGCGTCGATGATGCAAAGCTTATCGAATAGATACATGCTGGAGTTTGTGGCAGGAACATGAATGGACTCACTTTGGGTAGGAAGATCCTTTGAGCCGGGTATTTTTGGATGACTATTGAGCATGATTGCTGCAAGTTGTGCAAAAATGTCATTAATGTCAAGTGCACAGTGATTTTATCCGAGTGCCACCTCACGAACTCAATGCCATGAGTTCACCTTGGACATTTGTAGCTTGGGGAATGGATGTCATCGGTCCAATAGAGCCAACCGCTTTTAACGGACATAGATTTATTTTGGTTGTCATTGACTACTTCACTAATTGGGTGGAAGCAGCTTCGTACAAGTCGGACACCAAGAAAGTTGTAGCTGATTTTGTTTGTAACAATCTGATATGCAGGTTTGGAGTACCAAAGTCCATTATTACTAATAATGGTGCAAATCTCAACAATCTCTTGATGAGAGAAATAAGTGAGCAATTTAAGATTACTCATCGAAACTCAACTGTTTATCGCTCTCAAATAAATGGAGTTGTAGAGGCCGCCAATAAGCACATCAAGAAGATTATGAGGAAAAAGATTTACAATTACCAAGGTTGGTATGATATGTTGCCATATGTTTTATTGGGATACCGAACGACTATCAGAACGTTGATTGGAGCTACTCCATACTTTCTAATATATGGAAAATAAGCAGTCATACCCGCTGAAGTAGAGATACCGTCTTTGACAATCATCCAAGAAGCTTTGTTGAGTAATGTTGAATAGGTCAGCAAGATGATCGACCAGTTAGCCTTGATTGATGAGAAGAGAATGGTTGCTATTTGTCTTGGTCAACTATATCGACAGAGGATGATTCTTTGTTTCCATAGGAGAGTCAGAGCCAGAAATTTTGAAATTGGTCAGTTTGTACTTAAGCACATTTTTCCTTATTAAGATGAGTACAAAGGAAAATTCGCACAAAATTGGCAAGGACCCTACATGGTTTGCAAAGTATTATTAGGAGGTGCTTTGGTCCTGTCGTAGATGGATGGCTCCACATGGACGAAGATTAAATTAGATGCTGTCAAGAGATATTATGTGTGAAGCTTCAATTTGCATTTCTGTCATTTACTTGTAATCATTGTTTTCTTGTAATCTCTTAGTTTGGAATTTTATCCCTCCTGTAATGAACTATGTCTGACCTGAATTCTCATTGTGAGATACGTAGACGACCCGTGTTGGCCTCGGTCACCCCATTTATCCCTTTCAATATTTCTTGGTATTTGGACAGTGTTTGACCTGAATTCTTAAAAAGGAGATACCTAGGCGGCCTATGTCAGCCTCGGTCGGTTTCTTTGTAAATTTCTTATTATTGTTAACCTTTGAGAGAAACTATGTTTGATGTGATTCCTGCGTTAACGGGATACGTAGGCGCCACAATAGTTTGGTCATATATCCTGTAAGATTTCTATTCCTCTTTGCAATAGAAACTGGGACATAATTTTTGAGAGGGACTAAAAAATTATCGAGAAGAAGATTTTTTATCAATAAGTCTAGACTGAAATCACTTTGAAGCTTGCAACTGGATAGAATTTTTGAGAGGATCTCAAAAATTCCGCGATTTACTCACCGGCGGTTGAAGAGAAGCTAAGACATGTAACTAGGACAAAATTTTTGAGGATGACCTCAAAATTTCAACATAGTTTTATCGGTGGTTTAGAGTGACTCTGAGTACTTTCTAGCAAATAATCAGATGGACCTCCAAGGAGCAGACAACTGAAGAAATCGACAAAGTTCAATTCATTTTAAAAATAATGATTTTATTGTTGACGCAGATTTATAGATTTGCTCTGAAATCAGCAAATTCCTCCGATCGATGAATATGGAGAAGTAAAGGGGGAGAAAAGCTCTCCCAAAATTTACAATTTTTTTGCGGACACAAGAATTATTATGTATTGCTTATATCAAAGACCTGGGAATGTGAACAACATTGTTTCATCCAACTCCCAACAGCACTAATTACATAGCGAAGATACAACTATGTTAGAAGAAGAATCAAATGAAAACCCCAGGAAAAAGACTTTACGGTTTTCATCAAGGATGTCATCTACATCATATTATCAGACATGATAGTATTACTACCAGGAGGGTCATTTTATTTGTATTTTCAATATTGATCATTACACTACCTTGAGGTTCATTTTTTGTGTTGTTGATTAAGACGATTTCACTATTTAGAAGGCATCTAGAAGACACTATGTTGCTCGATCGAAGCACTATCTTCATTTGGTATCAAGGATGACATCAAGAAGATAATCATGCATCACGAGAAGATATTCATGCATCGCGAAAAAATATACATGCCTCGCGAGAAAATATTCATGCATCATAAAAAAATCATGCATCGCGGGAAGATATTCATGCCACACTGAATGTCATGCATCACGAGAAAATATTCATGCATCGCGAGTTGATGTTCATGCATCGCGAATGAATATTCATGCATCACGAGAAGATATTTATTCCCAGCAAAAATTCAAGCACCGTGGTAAGATATTCATTCCCTAGAGGAAATCATGCATCACGATTTACTATTCATGTATCTCAAGTTAATATTCATGCATCACGAGAAGATATTCATGCATTACAGAAAATCATGCATGGCGAGAGAAAATTCATGCATCAAGAAAAAGTCATGTATTGCAGAGGAGAAATCGTGCACTGCGAGAGAAGGAAATCATGCATCCCAAAAGAAATTTTTACCCCTCAACATCAACCACATCTTTTTATTTTGATAAGAGTGAATACAAAGAGGATCATCAAACACGACATTATGAGAAATATCAACACTGCATCAACTTTTATTTATGTTGACATCAAATGAATTATACATTGAATATTACATTGTAAGCGTAAGACATAAGTTTTATCTACTTTACGTCCAACCGAACGGAGTTGACATCAAGTGTTCAAGGAGAACAATTAAGTGTCAACATGGTAAAAGATACTATCTCCATTTGAACTGCATTTTATGCTAATGAGTTTTATCTCTGTCGTTGTTAAGAGCATCCGAAAGGATGAATTCTCCTAAAAATAAAACACCACAGGTGCGGATGACATAAAAAAGGATGCAACATAATGTGGAACTTTTTATTAGCAGCGAACTGTGACATAGTCCAAAGAGGAGTGTCAAACTCTTAGGACGTGAGAGGAGCGACTTCCACCACAATCAAACCACACCCCTATCAGAAGACGTGTGGGGTTTTCTTTGATTTCTCAGTTTTGGTCTCGCATCTAGAAATTGTGTATTTGCCAGAAGCAAGTTTCCAATCTGAGTGACAATACACAAGAGCTTTGAAAATTATGTCAGTGCAAGTTCTTAATTATGAGTGTGAAGTGCACCACATTCATGGATAAGAAGTTACAAGCATCTTTTTCATACTCGACTTAATTTGTCATTTGTCCAGAACAAAAGGTTATCCAGCATAATAGATTCTTTTTTCAACCGATTGAGTCGAACTACAAGAATCTTGATTCCTTGGGTTTAAGAATTTGTAGGCGGGCTCAATGTTGAAAACTCGGCTGTATTCTCACGTTCACCCTTGAATCTTATTCTGGAGCATCTCGAACCCTTGATGATTCAGTGTTGAGATAACCTCTAAAATAATCTCAAAATCGTGCGTTAAATCAAGCGTATCGAACTACTAGTGGCCTGAATTCTCATATAGCCTGAGATATATAGGAAACTCTTTCTAGGGTTCAACCATATTTCTTAAAATCCTTACCGAATTCCTTTTTTCCAAGAAGATGAATATGTGGTCGGTCAAAATTGGTTTGGTCAATTTCATTTTCCTCGAATTTCTTGCATCAATCCAAGTAAAATGAGGGACAGTTGTTGACACCCAATTTTGAATCTCCCCGTTGAGAATTAATTAACGAGTTTCTTAGTTCTAAGAGATTTTGCAATAATTAATTTTTATAAGATATAAAATACCTTTTAAATTATTTTTATATTAATCTTATTGATTTTTTATTCTTAGATAATATATAGGTTTTACGTAATTGCATATACAATTAGTTTATTTTATGTTTATTCGAAAACCATCTCAAAAGAATTTGATTTTACTTAATATTTTTATTAAGTTTAATTTCGGCTAAATAAGTAGTTCATATTTTGAGGCTCTAGTTTATATTTAAGTTATTTATTTTATCTTGCCAAAATCAAGAATCTCGTTAATTAATTAATGTGTATTCATTTGGTTTTAAGTTTTAATTAAAAAATATTAATCAACTTGACTTGGTTAATTTGTTAAAATTCACTCGAACATCCATCTTTCTTTGGACCCATTAGAAACCAATTTTGGGCTTCCATTTCATATTTCAGGTTTCCTCTTTCATTTCCTCCAACTATGCTGACCCAGCCCACCTGTTCCTATAAACCTGGTCCAACTCTCTTCTCCTACAAAATTACATATGCGGAAACTTTGCAGAAGTAGCACCGATAGTAGCTGCCTCATGGTGATACACAGACCATGGACGGAAGGACGCGTGAGTGACACCGCTGACCCCTACGCGCATCAACACACTTCACTCCAAAAGATGACAGCTAACGATCCTAACAGAAGTAGACGGAAGGCATTTCAACGACTCTTCCCTCATTTTCGGTATTGTCTTTATGCAAAGAATTCAGAGATAACAGACCTGGGAGCTCATCCTAGTGGCTGTGAGATGAAGCCACATCGCTCGCCAAGGATGGGAGATCGATCCTAGCCGTTGATTTCCCCTTCCCTTTTCGGAATGGTTTTAGACTCCAGAGAAAGGGTGTTTATCCAAATTGATGAAAGACTTTGATTTCGAATCTTGAATTCATGTGCCTGAAATCCGAATTTTGTTCCTTTCCCTCCAAATTTTTGTAGCCCTAAATTCCTCGTTTGTATAATCTTTATATAATCTGTTGGGTTTAGTGGTCCGAAGGGTATTTTTTCTTTGGGAGATTTTCTTGGTGTTGGAGGATTTTTTTTAGTTAAGAAAACGCAGAGATGTCACATTTGGGTTTACCCCCTAGACGTAACCGGCATCGTCGTCCTTTTCAAACACTAAGAGTAGCCTTTTAGCCTCATGTCATTACATTCATAGGTTGAAAAATGCGTAATAATTTAAAACATTAGTTATTACTACTTGGAGGTTTACATACACCTCTACATACACATAGTATGTAGTCATATCGAGTATACATAGACCCTTCGTATAGGAAGGTTACATAGCTTTCTACTTTTATTGTACATACATATATATAAAATGTAAAGACAGTCTCAATGTTTATCTCATATCATACCTAAACGATTATCACAATATGGGCATATCCCTTACCTCAATCCAACAAGACCATAGATAGGTCATATGAAAGTAAAATACTCAATTAAAAGGAAAGAAATGAAAGTCATTAAATTCATAACAAGTCCGTAAGCTAGGTGATGGAATTTCCCTTGGAGGTTGAGGACCTATCCTACTTGGATTAAAGAAAGAATCTAAGATTTCAACAATGTCTCCTTCCAAACTCTTTAACAACTGGAACCGAAAATGTTTGGGAGAAAAGGAAGAAAATGGGGATAGTACTCCACATGTACTAAGTATGAGACCTTATGCACATATACAAACAAATCATGCTAAAAAGGGACATTTAGTCAAAACATGCCATTTTGAACCTTTAAGAACCTATTGCAAAACAAAACAAGTCATATCAACCAACCAAACATGCTTACTATCTTAACAAGTATACTTATCCT